ACACACTGTCAGGCTTATTTTGTCTTAGTATGCCTCTACCTTTCCTTGACAGAATAATTATTCTCCTGTGTGACTGCATTTCTCATGTTTGATAAGCCGATTTCTTGGTCTGTACTCCCGAAGTTGGTAACTGTTTTTGTACTTGCCAGTTAGCTACAAGTCTATGGTTAGCTAGCAGTTCTCAGCTGTTAGCAGCCAATGGCTAGCGGTTTCTTACTTTTTATAAAAAAACTGATGATTAAAATTTTTTCAGAGTCATTACTGAATTATTTAATGTAACAAATCAAACTTTAAACCTCGTAAACAATTGAATTGTCATTCATGATAACCTCATAAACGATTCGATTAGACCCACCGTTTATTTGAAACAGGCGTTTATTTGCTGAAATGTGTGCCGTTGCCCGGCTATTAAAAGGGACAGGCGGTATTTGAGAGACTGCGTTTAATTGAAGTTTTACAGTATACAAAAATGTGATGTTTACTGTTACATTTTGAAATGTAACTTCTGAGTTTTTCCACTTTACTAGTGAAATAGTCATTGAAATGATTGACTACTGAAAGGTTTTGTTATAAATGACCCATGAATTTCAATGAACGATGGAGATTAATTGGGTTTTCTGGCCATGATTTCATTTCAGGTACTCCAAAGTATTTTTCCATTGTGTTTTATGTCATTTATCTTTGTTTTGTAATATCATTTATTTTTAAGTTTAGTCACAACATTTGTCAATATACTCTCTATCTCTCTATCTCTAATCTAATCGAGCAACCTGACCAAACCATTTTTAATTTCATCATCAATCCTAACAGGTGCATGCTTGTCAACAATTGCCATTAATAATTGTACGAATACTTCCAGTGCTGTATCTGGATTTACTTCCTCATACACATCCGACCAACATACATTTTTCACATCTTCAACAAAAGAATCCTGAAGAAACATGATCTCTTATAAATGACTTTAGGCCCAACCTTTGGTACTTTGGCTTTCCGTGTTATTGCCACAATGTTATGGTCACTACAGCCAATGGAAACTGGTATTGCTTTGGAGCAAAGCTCTGCAGCATTAGTGAAGATATGATCAATAGAATGTCACAGATCCAACATAGGTATGCACTCTAGTTGGTTGAGTGATAACCTGGGTCATATTACAGGCATTAGGCACATTTAGAAGCTTCATCTTGTGAGGACCGCTAGTTGCTAACCAGTCAATGTTCAGGTCACCCAGAAAATGGACCTCTCTGTTAACATCACACACATTATCAAGCATTGAACACACATTATCCAAATACTGACTTTTAGCACTTGGTGGCCTATAGCAGCACCCCAAAAGAAGAAGCTATAGATGAGGCAGGTGAACTTGCAACCACAACGCTTCAACAACATTGGACATGAGATCCTCTCTAAGCTTTACAAGAATATTACTCTGAACATATCTAGCAACATCCCTACATAGGTATTCCTGTCTTTTCTGTAGATGTTATATCCCTGTATTGCTACTACTGTGTCATCAAAGGAATTATTTGAGTTTCAGAGATGGACAGTATATGAATGTTATCCAGTGTCATCAAGTTATTGATTTCATTAACCTTATTTCTAAGGCTACATATATTCATATGGGCCGTTCTTAGCCCTTTTCCTTGGTATCTAATCAGAGAGACATAACATGGAGACATAATAAATAATTATGTGTGTGTGATGTTGGGCTGAAGCTACTGACCTGCAGGCTTGGCTCTCTCAGTCCTCCCAAGCTTTTGGTAGGGAGGGTGGACAATGAGCCTGTCTTAGTGGATGTAAGCAATCCTCCCGTGCTCTCTGGCAGCTTTCATAGATGGGATAAGTTCTTTCCGCCTCTGGCGCACAGCTTCAGAGAAGTCCTGGTTAAGGAAGATGTTGGTTCCTGTCAAGATCTTGGCTCTCTTCAGAACAGCGATCTTGTCCTTAAACCTCAGGAACTTGACCAATATCAGCCTGGGTCTGTCACCTGGGCTGGTTACATGTTTTCCACCCTGTGGGCGCGCTCTGCAGCTTTTCAGTGATCATTGTTCTTCAAACTCGGCCCAGTTCTCATGTGTAGACTCTGGAATACCATCCACAACGATCTTATTCCTCCTGGATTGTTCCTCTAGATCAGGGGTGTCAAACTCATTTTAGTTCAGGGGCCACATGGAGGAAAATCTATTCCCAAGTGGGCCGGACCGGAAAAATCATGGTATATATATAACTTAAAAACAACAACTTCAGATTGTTTTCTTTGTTTTAATACGATCAACATACAACATAAAGCTGGAGCCTGAGGACAGTGTGTCCAAAATAGTACAAGCACAACATCACTATTAATCATAAAACACGTCAAGTTTATTTGAAAATTCTAAAGAAAAAGAACACACAAACACAATGCCTCAGTGATTAACAGAACAGTTTCACAGATCACAGAACTATATCAGGGTGTCATTTCTCAGGCAGAAATGTAGATAAAAATAATGAAATCCTGTTCCCCAAACAAGTGCAAGAACCACAGAGTCAAGAATAGGTTAAATATACAAATAAAATAAAATCTATTAAAAACAATAGCACATCAACATAAAAACATATAAACATAAAGCTGGAGCCTGAGGACAGTGTCCAAAAGCACAACATCACTATTAATCATAAAACACCAAGTTATTTGAAAGTTCTGAGGACAAAGAACACACAAACACACAATGCCTCAGTGATTCACAGAAGTATATCACAGATCACAGAACTATATCAGGGTGTCATTTCTCAGGCAGAAATGTAGATAAAAATAATGAAATCCTGTTCCCCAAACAAGTGCAAGAACCACAGAGTCAAGAATAGGTTAAATATACAAATAAAATAAAATCAATTAAAAACAATAGCACATCAACATAAAAACATATAAACATAAATCTGAAAGTGTTGCTCAAACTCCCGTAACAGTCCCGTTATTTTATCTTTGAACCGCTTCATGTCTGCCACATGTTGGGTCGCGCACACATTTTTCAGACAGGGGAAGTGAGCTGCATCACCACCGGCAAGTTGCATCTCCCACAATGACAGCTTCAACTTGAAAGAACGTATGCTGTCATAATACTGCGTGACAACTTTGTTGCACCCTTGCAGCTGTTTGTTCAAGTTATTCAGGTGCTCTGTAACATCCACCATAAATGCAAGGTCCTGCATCCATTCTGCGGAATGAAATTCTAACACTGGTTTGCCCTTTTCTTCCATGAACTGTTCAATTTCTTCTCGTAAATCAAAGAAACGCCTCAGCACAGCACCTCGGCTTAACCATCTTACCTCAGTGTGGTATGGCAGGCCATAGATGTGGTCTTTCTCTCTGAGAAGGCTGTCAAACTGACGGTGATTCAGGCTTCTGGATCGGATGAAATTAACAGTTTGGATGACCACCTTCATGACGTTATCCATCTTTAATGACTTGCAACACAAAGCCTCCTGGTGCAAAATACAGTGAAAAGTCAAAAAATCACGTCATCCATTTGCAGATTGCACTTTCTCTCTGAACTTTGTCACAACGCCTGCTTTTTTCCCGATCATTGAGGGCGCACCATCTGTAGCCAGGCTGACAGCGCGGGACCAGTCCACTCCGACCCTGTCCAGCGCGCCGATGAGTGCGGTAAAAATATCAGCTGCTGTCATTGTATCTGTCATCGGCACCAACTCCACGAACTCCTCGGTGACGGTCAATGTGTCCTCAACTCCGCGGATGAAAAAATGGCCAGTTGTGCAACATCTGTAATGTCCGTGCTTTCATCAATTGCAACCGAAAACGCAATAAATGACTTTACTTTTTGCTTCAACTGGCTGTCCAAATCCACTGAAAGATTGGAAATCCTGTCTGCAACTGTGTTTCTTGTCAGGCTGATATTTGCAAAAGCCTTCCGCTTTTCAGGGCACACAATCTCCGCTGCCTTCATCATGCATGTTTTTACAAATTCACCCTCACTAAATGGTTTTGAAGCCACTGCGATTTCATTAGCAATGAGGTAGCTAGCTTTCACTGCAGCGTCACTGATGTCTCGGCTGTGAGTAAACACAGACTGCTGTTTCTTCAGACCCGCCAACAGTTAATTCACCTTCTCTCATCTCTGCTGTCCTTGAAAGTTGTCATATTTGTCGGCATGAAGACTCACATAGTGGCGACGAAGGTTATATTCTTTCAGCACTGCAACATGCTCTGAACACACCAAACATACAGCTTTCCCATTCAATTCCGTGAATAAATAGGATGACCATTTTTCTTGGAACACTCTGCACTCTGCGTCCACTTTTCTCTTTTTTGACAGAGACATATTGGGGCAATGAGGGTGCCAAAGCACATAATGTTAAAAGTAGAAGCCGTAATAAATATCGCGGGCAAAACAAAGTAGCTCATTGGCTGCACGTGCTTGACCTACTTGCTCTGCCCCGGTATAAACAGTTTGCTTGCTTAACACAATTGCTATTGCGCCATCCAGTGGACGCAATTGGAACAGCAGTTTATTTTATTGAAAAATTGCAGCGCATTTTTATACTTTACAAATATATATATATTTTTTAATATTATTATATATATTTTTTTAATCATCTCGCGGGCCGGATTAAACCCGTTTGCGGGCCTGATCCGGCCCGCGGGCCGGACGTTTGACACCCCTGCTCTAGATGGTCTGTTTTCCTAGTCATTGTAATAAGGATTCACAGAGAGTGCTGATGTCATCTTGAGATGGTCAATAGAAACAAGATGGCAAATTTCATCGAAAAATGGGTTGGATCCTTTTGAAGGGAGTGTAGTAGTGGTATTGCCATTGCATTTCTCCTAAGATAAACTGAAAATGACAGATTTGTACTGTACTCTATGAGATAATTCTTGGCACCATACACATTTGCAAGACTGCAATTATTGGTACTATACACTATGTACTATACAGGTTGCAACTTATACAGAAATGCTGTCTTATCTAACTCCGAGTACATTTGTCTCTTCATTTGTCTCCAGCGCTGCCGTCAAACCCAAGGTTGTCTCTCTTTTTTTCAGTCGAGTCCAAAAGCACGCAAATCAAAGCGATGGATCCCATTGTACCGGCTCCGCTAATGCCGTCACCCCGCAAAGTTTCTGCCCCCGTACCACCCATCCCTCCACAAAGAGGGATCCACAAAGCTGTCAACTCTCACACCAAGTCCACCGGCGTACCGCCACCGCCACCGCCTCCCAACCTCAACAATAGCTCTTCAGCTAACCAGACCTGCACAGGTAAGAATACATGGATTATATCGTTCAAATTGAGTGATTTAAGTTCAAATTGATTGCATTTATATAGAGCTTTTCCAGATGCTCAAAGCGCTTGATGTTGTGTAGGGTAAACTCACCTTGTCCACCTCTTATGTCTAGCACCCCACTGGGTGATTGTACTGCAGTCATTTTGCACCACATAGTTCACCATACATTAGCATACAATACAGTGAAGAGGTGAATCAATACTTGTTGCATACGAAGGTTGAATGATATAGTGAATGTCACAGGGTTTCTCACATCTGAATCTTTCCATCTCAGCAGATAGACGGGACCCAGCTCTCTCCCTGGCCACGGACTTTGGCTTCGAGGACAACTTCAACCACTCCCTCAAAGTGGAGGAGAAGAAGAACCAGCAGAATGGCATTGTGCCCCCCCGAGAAGCCCCTCCAGTTCCCCCTTTACCTCCACGTAAAGGCTCCTACACTCCCTCCAATCCTCTCCCCCCCGCGCCCATCCCAATCTCCAAAGACAGAGTCTCGTCCATACAGGCTAAAGATGCTGCTTTGGAAACGCCTGCCAAAACGGAGTGAGTGGTACCAGTAGGACCGTCTCATAGTATGCCCATCCTTTTAGAGATATTTTGTCCCCTACAGAACTATCTGTATTTGCCTTCTATTAGTGTCAGAGGGCCTCCATTTATAATTTTGTTGTCAGAGGGCCTAGATCAGTGGTCACCAACCTTGAGTGGTCACCAACCTTGAGTCAAGATCACATTCTGAGTCCAAAAGCAAGCCGAGATCTACCACTTAGATGTATTTTTAAACATGACTTAAAAAACATAAGCATATGCAACATTAACCTATTAAAAACAGTTCCATAGCAATGATGTTTGTGCAGTAGGCTATAGGCCCAAAACATTATCACTGCATATTGGCTATGCTTGAATTGCCTTGCCAATGTTCTTCTCATACCATTTTGAAATTATATTGCAACATTTTTGGTACTTGTGAGGCACAGCTGAGTGAGCATAATAATTGGCTTTTTGTATTTTACTGGACTGATGGTCTGCATCTGATTGTCAGTCTGAGGGGAGAGAGGGAGAGAGCAGCGATAAGGCTGTCTCTCACCCGACTCACTATCCCTCCGCTCTCCCTCCCTTCGCTGAGAAAAGGGGACACAGTCTTCCTTCCAGTTGATGGTCGAAACGCAAGTCACACTGCATTATTTCTGCCTCATGCACCAATTCATGTTGTTACTCCTATGACCAGAGAAAGTCAAATATTTATTGAATATTTAAAAAAAGACACAAGCCGCTAATGATAACGCAAGCTTATCGAAACACTTTGCTATACTCATTAATTGCAGCTGCAGTGCTGGTTGTAGCGTGAGTGGAAGTAAGCAGAACGCACATTTTATGGCTTATAAAAGTGTTGAACAAAGTGTTTACAGTGCTGAATAACTTAAACATTAACGTATGAATGGTTCAAAATGGGAACCCTTTGCCTTCCTGGCCCTATGGCTGCTGAATCAAGTGCACCTACCGCCAACAGTGCTAAACAAACAACAACAAAAAAAATATGAACGTAAGGCTTTATCGTTGGCTTTTCTATAGAAATGTTTGGTGATTGACTACGAATGCCTTGGAGAGATCGACCAGTTGATCACGATCAACGATTGGTAACCACTGGCCTAGATCTTGATTTGTAGGCTTTACACCCTGCTTGGAAAATAATGTAGTGGAAATACTGTGGTGATGACTCATACTTATGTGATCTTGCAGTTTTAGGACTGCAGTGGACCGGCCCAACTCGTGGAACGACAGCCCCACCACCAACAGCATGCGGAACGCCATGTTCTCCACTCAGGCCGGCCAGAGAGAGAACCTCATCAAACACTGCCTGGGCAAGAAGGAGAAGGAGTATGTGGACATCAAGGACTTCAGGTGAGTCCCCGTTGGTTTGTGTGGATGGTGTGTGGGGGTGTCTGTGACCGACTGGGTTCGAACCCGGGTCTCCTGTGTGCCACAAGCAAAACACCCGGGTCTCCTGTGTGCCACAAGCAAAACACTAGGCATTACCTTGGGGAGCTAATCCAAGTCTTCAGGGCTCGGGCAAGGTAACATCACACAAGCGTGATTCGTTGAGCCAGCTCCATTACATGTGCTCCTCTGCAGTAGCCAGTTGTAATTCTGGACAGAAAATTGAGGAGATCGATTGAATGTGGATTATAGCAGCATCACCCTTTTTAAATTCCATTCTGGTGAGATTAAATCAAATGCGCTAATTTAGTTATTGTAAATGTTTCTGTAGGCTGTAGTTTTTCCATGTTCCAAGTACTAAAAAGTACTTTCACTCACTGAGCCGTAGTCCATATTATTACCGGCAACCCTTATCAGCCTACACCCTCGCACTAAACTCACTTGTGTGTCTGTCCACTTAAGCATGTGAATGTCTATATAAGACTGTTGTGTGTGTTTCAGATTGTTTACCGGAACGTGGAATGTGAATGGCCAGTCCCCAGACAGCAGTCTAGAGCCCTGGCTGTGTTGTGACCCAGAACCTCCTGATGTCTACGCTCTGGGGTCAGTGACATGTCTATCTGAGTATCCAATGTCTTCTACACAGCACGTATGAGTGAATGAACCTGGGTTGTATTCATTAGTGCACACCATTGCAAAATGTTTTGTTATGGAAAACAAGCAACAAGCGTTTCTTATCGGACAACCTCATGTATTCCTCCCTGCTTCAGTCCGTTTTCTTCCGTTTGGTGCCTAGTGAATACAACCCAGAAATGTGCAAGTAACATACTTTTCTGAAACGCTTCCTCTGAATGCCACGTAATTAATGATGGATGGACTTAGTTAGTTATAACCTAGATTTCATAACATACTCTAAAGAGTGCTTTTGTGCACTTTCCCAATGCATGAGTGCTGATTGCACTTTCCCAAGCATTGGAACGCTGACTTCCCTGTGTATTCTGGGTGCTGTAGTTTCCAGGAGCTGGACCTGAGCACAGAGGCCTTCTTCTATCTGGACTCGTCGAAGGAGCAGCTGTGGGTAGAGGCTGTGGAGAGAGGTCTTCACCCCAAAGCCAAGTACAAGAGGGTGAGGCAGTGAGAGGAATGGTTCAATCAACTAAAGTAAACTGTTTCCTAGAATATTACATACTTGTAATTAGGTTTAAAAAATTACAGTAATCACACGCTTATGAATAGCAGCAGATGCCCTTATCAACATATTTTGTTCATACTCAAATAGACATAATATTATTTTATTATAATAATAATATGCCATTTAGCAGACGCTTTTATCCAAAGCGACTTACAGTCATGTGTGCATACATTTTAACGTATGGGTGGTCCCGGGGATCGAACCCACTACCCTGGCGTTACAAGCGCCATGCTCTACCAATTGAGCTACAGAGGACCACCCATACAATATGAATGTCCTCCACAATGGATGCTTCTGTCCCCGCAGGTGCGCACCATCCGTCTAGTGGGCATGATGCTGGTGGTGTATGTCAACAAGGTGCACAAGAATCACATCAAAGAAGTGGCTGCAGAGCATGTGGGAACTGGCATCATGGGAAAAATGGTACGAATGAGTCAAGTCAAATAAGAGGAAGTGTTTGTGTTATCCTTTTTCTCTGATCAACTTATACCATTTATAGATACAGTGAGGGAAAAAGTATTTGATCCCCTGCTGATTTTGTACATTTGCCCACTGACAAAGACATGATCAGTCTATAATTTTAATGGTAGGTTTATTTGAACAGTGAGAGACAGAATAACAACAAAAAGATCCAGAAAACCGCATATAATTTTTTTTATAAATTGATTTGCATTTTAAATTAGGGAAATAAGTATTTGACCCCTCTGCAAAACATGACTTAGTACTTGGTGGCAAAACCCTTGTTGGCAATCACAGAGGTCAGACGTTTCTTGTAGTTGGCCACCAGGTTTGCACACATCTCAGGAGGGATTTTGTTCATCTCCTCTTTGCAGATCTTCTCCAAGTCATTAAGGTTTTGAGGCTGACGTTTGGCAACTCGAACCTTCAGCTCCCTCCACAGATTTGCTATGGGATTAAGGTTTGGAGACTGGCTAGGCCACTCCAGGACCTTAATGTGCTTCTTCTTGAGCCACTCCTATGTTGCCTTGGCTGTGTGTTCTGGGTCATTGTCATGCTGGAATACCCATCCATGACCCATTTTCAATGCCCTGGCTGAGGGAAGGAGGTTCTCACCCAATATTTGACTGTACATGGCCCCGTCCATCGTCCCTTTGATGCGGTGAAGTTGTCCTGTCCCCCAGAAAAACACCCCCAAAGCATAATGTTTCCACCTCCATGTTTGACGGTGGGGATGGTGTTCTTGGGGTCATAGGCAGCATTCCTCCTCCTCCAAACACGGCGAGTTGAGTTGATGCCAAAGAGCTCGATTTTGGTCTCATCTGACCACAACACTTTCACCCAGATCTCCTCTGAATCATTCAGATGTTCATTGGCAAACTTCAGACAGCCCTGTATATGTGCTTTCTTGAGCAGGGGGACCTTGCGGGCGCTGCAGGATTTCAGTCCTTCATGGCGTAGTGTGTTACCAATTGTTTTCTTGGTGACTATGGTCCCAGCTGCCTTGAGATCATTGACAAGATCCTCCCGTGTAGTTCTGGGCTGATTCCTCACCGTTCTCATGATCATTGCAACTCCACGAGGTGAGATCTTGCATGGAGCCCCAGGCCGAGGGAGATTGACAGTTCTTTTGTGTTTCTTCCATTTGCGAATAATCGCACCAACTGTTGTCACCTTCTCACCAAGCTGCTTGGCGATGGTCTTGTAGCCCATTCCAGCCTTGTGTAGGTCTACAATCTTGTCCCTGACATCCTTGGAGAGCTCTTTGGTCTTGGCCATGGTGGAGAGTTTGGAATCTGATTGATTGATTGCTTCTGTGGACAGGTGTCTTTTATACAGGTAACAAGCTGAGATTAGGAGCACTCCCTTTAAGAGTGTGCTTCTAATCTCAGCTCGTTACCTGTATAAAAGACACCCGAGAGCCAGAAATCTTTCTGATTGAGAGGGGGTCAAATACTTATTTCCCTCATTTAAAATGCAAATCAATTTATAACATTTTTGACATGCGGTTTTCTGGATTTTGTTGTTGTTATTCTGTCTCTCACTGTTCAAATAAACCTACCATTAAAATTATAGACTGATCATTTCTTTGTCAGTGGGCAAACGTACAAAATCAGCAGGGGATCAAATACTTTTTTCCCTCACTGTAGGTATACAGGACATACACACTGTATTCGTGTGCAAATGTAAATTAACAGATATTTTAATGCAATATAAAATACACTGAACAAAAATATAAACGCAACATGTAAACATGTTTCATGAGCTGAATAAAAGATCCCAGAAATTTTCCATATGCACAAAAAGCTTATTTCTCTCAAATCTTGTGCACAAATTTGTTTATATCCCTGTTAGTGAGCATTTCTCCTTTGCCAAGATAATCCATCCACCTGACAGATGTGGCATATCAAGAAGCTGATTAAACAGCATGATAATTACACAGGTGCACCTTGTGCTGGGGACAATAAAAGGCCACTCTAAAATGTGCAGTTTTGTCAAACAACACAATGCCACAGATGTCTCAAGTTTTGAGGGAGCGTGCAATTGGCATGCTGACTGCAGGAATGTCCACCAGAGCTGTTGCTAAAGAATTGAATGTTCATTTATCTTCCATAAGCCATTGCCAACGTCGTTTTAGAGAATCACCTCATGCTTTAGCATGATAATGTACGGCTCCATGTCGCAAGGATCTGTACATAATTCCTGGAAGCTGAAAATGTTCCAGTTCTTCCATGGCCTGCATACTCACCAGACATGTCACCTATTGAGCGTGTTAGGAATGCTCTGGATCGACATGTACGACAGCATGTTCCAGTTCCCGCCAATATCCTGCAACTTCGCATAGCCATTGAAGAGGAGTGGGATAACATTCCACAGGCCACAATCAACAGCCTGATCAGCTCGAAGGAAATGCGAAGGAAATGTGTCGCGCTGCATGAGGCAAATGGTGGCAACACCAGATACTGACTGATTTTTCTTTTTTAAAAGGTATTTGTGACCAACAGATGCATGTCTGTATTCCCAGTCATGTGAAATCCATAGATTAGGGACTAATGATTTCATTTCAATTGACTAATTTCCTTATATGAACTGTAACTCATTAAAATCCTTTAAATTGTTGCATGTTGCGTTTTATATTTTTGTTCAGTGTAGTTTGTTTTGTTTTTCGCATTGACGCTCAGTGCACTATATCATGGTTTTATCTAGATTCCATTTAGCATAATGCTCATGCACTGTACATGTGAATACAGGCATTTACATAGACATACTGTATTTGTGCAAAATGTAAATTATGGGATATTTGAATTCCACAATATACTTCTACTGCAAAGTATTGTATTATGTTCACATACTGTAAACGGTATACTTTTTCCACATAAGAAATGTCCTTTAAACCTATATGGGCTGAGCATCTGTTGCAAGACACTTTACTAAACAAACAAATCAGTCAATCAACATACAATGTTTTCTTTTCCCATTCTAGGGGAACAAAGGAGGTGTGGCGGTGCGCTTTGTGTTCCACAACACCAGCTTCTGTTTTGTCAACTCCCACCTGGCGGCCCACGTGGAGGACTTTGAGAGGAGGAACCAGGACTACAAAGACATCTGTGCCCGCATGAGCTTCCACCTGCTAGACCACCCTCCCCTCACCATCGTCAAACACGAGTCAGTCCCTCTCCAAGACCCATACTGTAGAGTCATAGGCATTGATCCAATGCCCTAACTAGCATACCACTTAGTGTGAAGCATTGGGCAATGCATTGGGCATGTATTCTCAATAATAGTATTTCAGGATCGAATAAGCTTACAATAATCGTCATTGCTATAATACATGTAATTCTTTGAAATAGTACATACTCAGTGCCGTGGTGGTTGTGTTATTGAATCCCCAATAAACAATTCTCAGGTAATAGTAATGTAATTCAACATCATTTCAAAGTAAGTAGTGTACTGTAAAATAGTGTAACCATGTCACTGATTTTCTTTCGTAGAGTGTTAGGTTATGTGTAAACTTATGGTATTACTGTAAGACTTTACATGCTGTTGTGTTACAATACATAACTCTTCATCCATTCTGTGGTCCAGTGTAGTGATCTGGGTAGGAGATCTGAACTACCGGTTGTTTGTGTACGATGCAGCCGAGGTCAAACAGCTCATCTCACACAACGAACTAAGGAAGCTGCAGGTGAATGACCAGGTGAGAATACACACGCGCACACACACACACACACACACACACACACACACACACACACACACACACACAATGGGATTTTACAACTTGTTTATGCAAACACATTAAAGTTTAAGGTTCAGCGCTGTCATAAATCAGTAACATTTTATAAAACAATACTGCACAAAAATCATGTTGTCATGTAAAGTTCTGCACTGTGGCAAATCAGTTACAAAAAAAAACAGCAACCACAACAAAAAGAGTGACACTAAATAAACATATTTTATTCAATGGAGTTCTGCATTCTGCAATAACTTTGGTGGAATCCCTCCTTGTTCCCGTTTCCCTCTGGTTGTTTATGAGGGTTATAAATACAGGAGTTCCTCTGTCTGTCTCTGAATAACCTTTATTGTTGGTGTATTTTCCCTCCTTCCTCTGTGTGAAGCTGAATATCCAGAGGCAGACCAGGCGAGCCTTCACAGACTTCATTGAGGGAGAGATCAATTTCATGCCCACATATAAGTATGACGCCAAGACGGACCGTTGGGACTCTAGGTAAATTATCACTGATTCTAATTCCTTTCCCTCCAAGCACATGCTTACAGTATGTAATACCCAGAGAGTTTGGTATTTTGAGGTGGAAACTATTACTCCCCCACCCAACAGAGTGCAAAGGAAATACCCTGTGTAGGATAGTCCTCATATTATGCCATAGCACCTTGATTATTCATGTTTAACTACCTAGTAAGATCAAACATGAAAAGCCACTATTCAAAACATTCTGTCCCAGTAACGAAAGGAGTCCTTACGCAAATATAGACAGCTGTTTGAGGCAATGTTGCTCCAGTGTTGAATAGGCATGGTAGGCACTCCTAACTAGCTTTGTTCCCCTCCTGCCTAAAATAATTTGAAGAGACCCAGGAGGTTGCTTTGGGTGCCTTCGTGGCTTATCTGGAAAACAATCATAGGTATCTAGGGAGACACTGGGTTGTGGCATGCAACTGAAAATTCAACGGAAAAAAACGAAAATGACTTCCATATTGTACTAGTCCACGTTGTCGTCACTGTTTCAATCTGCTATCTTTCATTTGGTGCCAAATGAACACGACCCTTGTGTGAGGTTAGCTGACATTGTGTCTCTAACCACTGTCTCTCTGTCTGGGGTTCTCCTTCAGTGGGAAGTGTCGTGTCCCGGCGTGGTGCGACCGGATCCTGTGGAGGGGTAGTAACGTGAAGCAGCTTCACTACAGGAGCCACATGGAACTGAAGACCAGCGACCACAAGCCCGTCAGCTCCCTCTTCAGCGTAGGGGTAAGGATCATGGAGCCACTTACTCACTACATTGTCTGTCAGCATCTGAATATCGCATCTGACTGATTTGAGGTCGAGGCAGTCAAGGGAGACCTGACATTCACAATAAACAAATATGTCTGCTAAGCCAAAGGAGTCATTTAAGTAAAATAGACATAAAAACTTTGAACATACTGTACAGCTCATTGAGAATCATAATATAAATACATCTAATGTGTTTATTCTCGAATAGCATGCTTGATTATGCTATATTGAATGAATCGGTGTTGGATGGATAAATTCATCTGTGTGTGTGTAACAGGTGAAGGTGGTGAATGAGGCGCGCTACAAGAAGGTGTTTGAGGAGATTGTGCGCATGATGGACAGGATGGAGAACGAATTCCTCCCGTCTCTGACACTGACCCAGAGAGAGGTGAGTAGACGGAACGCACACATACAGAGCCATGACTTTCATCGTATTGATTTCCTGTCCAGCATGTCCTCCCCACTGATATGTTGAAACGGATCAATAAGTCACAGTCTTTGTCAGGAAGCAAGGTACATGGTCGTTTTGATGCCAAGACAGCCAGTATTGAATCAGGGACTTGTGACAGTGATTTAAATTCGGACAAAAAATTGCCTAAGAAAATCAATATAAGCCTGCCAATATGCTTGAGTTACTTTGCACGGGTAGAATGGTGTGGTCATCTATTTGTATTTTAAACAATCTACTTTGCATAGATCAAACAAATATTATTGCACTCTGGCTTACTGTAACAGAATGTATGTGTGTCTGTCCTCCTCTCAACATCTCTCTCTTTCTCTCCCCCCTCTCTTTCTCTCTCCCTCTTCTCCCAAAGTTTACCTTTAAGGATGTCAAGTTCCGCCAGCTTCAGCGGGAGCGTTTTGTGATCTCCAACGACGGGCAGGTCCCCTGTCACTTTGCCTTCATCCCCAAGCTCAACGACTCGCAGTACTGCAAGAATTGGCTCCACGCCGAGCCCAGCGAAGGTTTCCTAGAGCCCAGTGAGTCCCATTCACTTTCAGCCATGTCACCTATCTTCTACAGTCAGTCACAGGCCCTGCCTGGTGGGATACTTTCATAATGCATCCTTCGCTCCTTCCTTGGTGGGATTTCACTGATCTGAGGATCTAAGGATTCACTGGTCGATCAGTTGAATGATCTCCTGGAGGAGGGAGAAGGAAGGCCAGTCCAGAAACAACCCCTAGCCCCTACTCCTTAATCACGTTTTTGATACGTATACAATAAGCAATATGTTGAAAGTCCTACCAAGCCTGTCCGAGGGCATGGAGCTGCTACCATATTATTTATAGGCCTACCTATCAAATCCTTTACTTTAAGATTTACTTAGGGGTTGTTTCGCAACTGGACCGAAGAATGCATTTGTATAGCATCTATACTCTGTCATAACCCATTGTGTGAATGTAGTGGCGTACTCCTGAGTGGCGCAGTGGTCTAAGGCACTGCATCGCAGTGCTAACTGTGCCACTAGAGATCCTGGTTCGAATCCAGGCTCTGTCGCCGCCGGCCGCGACTGGGAGACTCATGGGCGGCGCACAATTGGCCCAGCGTCGTCCAGGGTAGGGGAGGGAATGGCCGGCAGGGATGTAGCTCAGTTGATAGAGCATGGCGTTTGCAACGCCAGGGTTGTGGGTTCGATTCCCACGGGGGGCCAGTATAAAAAAAACATGTATTCACTAACTGTAAGTCGCTCTGGATAAGAGCGTCTGCTAAATGACTAAAATGTTAAATGTAAAAAAAAATGTATATTTTGTTCCCAGTGCTATCGTTCATCAGTTATCATACCACCAGGGCTTTGTTCCTGAGGCACCAAAACGAAAGAAAACAGACTGAAACAAGGATTTGGCCTACCCGGATTTGTTCAATAAGAAAAGCCCATGTCCACTTTCCATTGCAAAATGTTTTCCATCCCATACCCTAATGAACACTTCCCCTCTCTGTCTCTCCCCACCAGACGAAATTTTAGAGATCTTCCTGGATGTGTATGTGAGCAAGGACTCGGTGACGCTGCTCAACTCAGGAGAGGATGCCATCGAGGACATCCTGGTGCTGCACCTGGACCGAGGCAAGGATTACTTCATCACCATCTCAGGCAACTACCTGCCCAGCTGCTTCGGTACCTCACTGGAGACCCTGTGCCGCATGAAGAAGCCCATCCGGGAGATCCCCATCACCAAGCTCATCGACCTGGTGAGTGGGACTAGTTAACATGAAGTTACTGTAGCAACCAGGAAGGAATACTTTCGAAGTAGGTTAGGAGTGATGTATATATTGTTACGTATTGAAGAGCTGTTTAAATATAGTATTCATTCCAGGATTAGGTGAACTATCAATGCAAGTAAATAAAAATAAAATAAAACAATTTCTACTTTTATTGGTCACATGCCACATATTTAGCAGATGTTATTGTGGGTGTAGCGAAATGCTTGTGTTCCTAGCTCCAACAGTGCAGTAGTATCTAACAATTCACAACAATACACACAAATCTAAAAGTAAAATAATATAATTAAGAAATATATAAATATTAGGACGAGCGATGTCGGAGTGGCATTGGCTAAAATACAGTAGAATATAATACAGTATATACATATGAAATGAGTATAGCAGTATGTAAACATTATTAAAGTGACTAGTGTTCCATTATTAAAGTGACCAGTGATTCCATGTCTATGTACATAGGGCAGCAGCCTCTAAGGTGCTGGGTTGAGTAACTGGGTGGTAGCCGGCTAGTGATGGCTATTTAACAGTCTGATGGCCTTGAGATAGAAGCTGTTTTTCAGTCTCTGGGTCCCAGCTTTGATGCACATGTACTGACCTCGCCTTCTGGATGATAGCGGGGTGAACAGGCCGTGGCTCGGGTGGTTGATGTCCGTGATGATCTTTTTGGCCTTCCTGTGACACCGGGTGCTGTAGGTATCCTGGAGGGCAGGCAGTGTGCTCCGGTGATGCGTTGGGCAGACCGCACCACCCTCTGGAGAGCCCTGCGGTTGTGGGCGGTGCAGTTGCCGTAACAGGCGGTGAAACAGCCCGACAGGATGCTCTCAATTGTGCATCTGTAAGAGTTTGTGAGGCTCTTAGGGGCCAAGCTGAATTTCTTCAGCCTCCTGAGGTTGAAGAGGCGCTGTTGCGCCTTCTTCACCACACTGTCTGTGTGGGTGGACCATTTCAGATGGTCAGTGATGTGTACGCCGAGGATCTTGAAGCTTTTATACAGTACTTCTTCAGTACTGTATAATATACAGTACTTCTTCAGTCATTGAAGGCACTGAAGGCAGCAATGGCAGGTAGTTGTTTTTCTCCATGACACTTTTGGCTTGAGAGTCCGCTTAACTTGGTTTCCCTAACCCTAAACCCTCTAAACGGGTAAGAAATGAAAAGCAGCCAACACTGCAGCAGGCCTCAAAGATTGGTGTTGAAGAGCACATAGATTTGCTCCTTGTTTGTTTTTGAAAAGCCTGTTCAGAAAATGATACCTGGCAGGGCCACGTGACGGCCTGTTTGTCCACTCCTTCAAGGGTTTGTAAGAATCTCCACAGTCTGTTTTTAGAGGGCAGCGAGAATGTTTCAACCTGTGCCATTGTTTAGAATCTCTAAGGGAATAAGGAAGTGGCACATGGTGTGCACAAATGTCAGAAGGGCTTCCCTGAAATGCTAGGAGCATTGACTAAGTCTCGGCTAGTCATATATACCCTGGTCTACTTTACAGTACAAATAGAAATGCATAGACAGGCTATCTCTGTATTGCTATTTTATATTGTCTATCTATATCCACCTTGGCCCCTAGTGTTAGATTAGTATGCTATTGCATTGCAAATTATCTCTTGCTTCCACTGTTACTTTTCTACTGTCATTCTTTGCAGGGGTACTTTTGGGTGGTAACTTCTTAGACCCCTGTAATGCTCACACAAAAAAACACACACAAAATAAAACTCAATTTAAGCCAATCATTGCTCAATACATTCTCAAAGACCCTCTCTCCCAATCCTGCCGGCCCGGGACAATACTTTTTAAAAACCAGAAAGTAACCTACAGATTGCACCTTTTTAAAACAGCATGTCATTATCTTACTTCCTTACTCATCTGTGGTTCCGCTTGATCTCCTATCTACAGTATCTTCTCTGTTCTCTGTTCTATTTTTCTCCTTCCTCATCATCGCCTTGATCATTCCTTTCCAACTCTTCACTGCTGTGCTGGGTGATGCTGGGTGATGCTGGGTGCTCAGGGAGAGGACAGCTACATGGAAAAGGTAAAGTCAACATGGTGTGTCCATTTATATAAATCTATAATGATTAGAATCCTTCTTTCTATGGCGTCCCACTCTCTACTGCTCACTGTAAGGCTAGTCTGTTGCCCCGCTGTTGGTCAGCGAAATAGGCAACCCAGGTTCTAGTCAAGTAATGTTGCTTTCTAGATTTGACATAAAAACACCTCAAATGAACCAAATATACAGTACCTCAAGTTCTGAATTAGGGAAGCACATTGGTTCAGACAAGACCATGATCAAATATTCTGTTTTGGGATCCAATACTATAGTAACTGAAGTCTTCATTTACTGCAGCTCTATACCCAACGGTTGCATGTCCATCCGTGCCATAGCAGTACTAGCTGTTAGTGCTGAGCGATTATCCAGGCTCTGTCGTAGCCGGCCGCGACCGGGAGACCCATGGGGCGGCGCACAATTGGCCCAGCGTCGTCCAGGGTAGGGGAGGGAATGGCCGGCAGGGATGTAGCTCAGTTGGTAGAGCATGGCGTTTGCAACGCCAGGGTTGTGGGTTCGATTCCCACGGGGGGCCAGTATGAAAAATATTTTTAAAAAAATGTATGCACTCACTAACTGTAAGTCGCTCTGGATAAGAGCGTCTGCTAAATGACTAAAATGTAAAATGTAAATGTAACTGAAATGTGTTATTGTTCCATTTTTAAACAACAAATTGACTGATGTTGGTTAAATTATTTGAATTCCACTTCACTCTGTTTTTTTGTTGCTGTGAGTGCAATGCGCAGGTTCTCTAGAGATAAATCAGATCATGCCCGAACTGTGCGATGTAGTAGGGAGTTGTAGTTTCCAACAGGCCAATATCCTACATAGTTTAGCACAGAAAACATGGTAATTAACTACAATGACCATATTCAATTGTGTGCCTACTTGTCTGGTCTGTGTGGTGCTGACACAGAGGTAGATAGAAGAGACAGAAGAACGCGGGATACAGAACAGCTGCTTCGTGAGTTATCCCTACCTGAAAATACATGACCTAAGTGACTAATAGTTGGTTTTCAGAAGTCCTAAGATTACGCCTTATTTATTTTGAAGAACTACTAACTACTCTATAGAGATGATGAAAAATAAAGCCATCAAATAGGCCTAAAACAAATGTAATATACACAACTGAAATATTTGATTAAAGTAAAGTAATGTTAATAAGTGATAAGCGCTACTATTATGGGACTTTTATTCTCTGTTACAGCAGTCAACCCACATAATGCGTATTGCATTTAATGTCTATACAAATAATTGAACCCCACCCCCCCCCCCCCCCCCCCCCCCCCCCAAAAAAAAAAAATTAAAGCTGTACTAGTCCTCAATCTGAGATATTGGTGGCCCACATAAGACCGTCATGAAATGTGCGTGAGTGCATATTATATGCTTTATATTTCAAATTGTGAAGGCAATGGTTGAGATTGATAACCCTAAGGCAGTGATAGACCAGAGAGTAGGGCTGGGTGATATGGCCTAAAAATCATATCTCGATTTTTTTCAAACTTCCACAATATACACCTCGGTAAAAAACAAGGTTTTCTCTAAATAAGCTTTGTTGTACAATTAAAGGTCAAATACACTGCATTGCAAACAGTCAGCAATAATCGAATGAATTCAGGGCGTGTGAAATTAGGCTTAAAGCCCCACTAATAATGTAATTCTTTTATCAAAATAGTTTTACCTACTTTTTTGCAAAAATCACTGATTTGGCTTTCAAGTCTGTCTATGAAAATGCCCTTTTTGTTACAAATTTAACCAGAACCATGCATAATGCACATTCCCTAATAATGACTAACTTCTTTTTAACAGGCATTATAGAAAATTAACACAGGTATCATCAACAATCTCTCAAGCACAAGCCCCCGTGCTAGTGAGTAGCCAGCTAATCTTTCTATTTCAAGTTTAGCCAACTTGGATCTATTTGCTAGCTAACACTGCAGAACAGTTGAATTGTTATGAACACACCCTTCTGTCCGTCTCCAACTGTTTGAACAGAACGCTAGCCTGTCCATTTTGTTCAGATGTTGAAATCATGTGGTCTACCGTATTTCTCAGAATAATAAAGAGTGGCCAATTCCTGATATAACTGTATTGTATGCTTATTGCACATTTATAAAACACAGACTAGACAGCTAGTATAACAGCCTTTGGCTAAAATGCTGCTAGTGGTACGTGGTAGCTATAAACTGCATTATTTTTTCCAGAATCAATGTTCATTGATACTCCTGTTTTAGTAGTGTCTGCTCGCAATTTGAGTCGTTGAGACATATAAAGGATATCGTTAGACAGGTTAACTTCTCCTCTATTGCAGTAAAATGTCTCAATGTGTTTGGGTGTCCATATGACTGATTCTATTGGACCAAACCTCAAATGCAAATAGAGAGGAAGAAGTGATCTCTCAACTTTGTTGGTGTGAGTTTCAGGGGCTTGTGTGTGTGTGTGTGTGTGTGTGTGTGAACAGAGGAAGAGGCGAAGCGAGAGGTTTCGCTCTTGTTAAAATCTGTCCAAAATAAGGCCAATGCGTTTCTATGGGCTTATTTTGGACATAAGCTTGTCGCATGCCTTCTCGCATTTGGGACAACGACTCTTATTGTTAGGGCGGAGACATGAGCATCTTGTCATTATATTCAAATCTCTGGTGTAAATGGGAAGATGCACACAGCACAGAAGGAGCGAAGGAGACGAGACCAAAAAGACAACATGAGAACAAGTGGACATAAACGCTCATAATTCTTCTTGCGGTACAGGCATTTGGAATATCGCGCAAAAACATACATTTTGATTTGATATATCGCCCAGCCCTAACAGAGAGGAGCCTGGTTTCCACACGTGCGCCTGCTCGCGTGTGTGTGCGATCATAGAAGTGACACCACGTGTACTAGACTTCAAGCACGTCTCCACAGCAGTACACACGCATCACAACTGTCCCTCCACACACACACACACACACACACACACATACACACATACAGTCCTTCTTCCGCACACCCAAGCTCATTTCACAGCAGGTCACTCTACAGTGCACAGGCCTTCACACACATGATTAAGGCTAATGAGAGTTTAGGGAGAAGCAGAGGGGACCTGTGCTCAGTTAAGCAGCATCTGCTTCACTCATATAAAGCCTGATGTTAATCCCATCTTCACCTTCCATATCTGAGCAGCTCACCGGCCAGTGAAACTGAATCGCTGCACGGCTAAACCCACTACAGATGGCACCATAAATAGGAAACAACATAACGTTTTTTAATAGGGCGTTGGGCCACCAGAACAACTTCAATGCGCCTTGGCATATATTATACAAGTGTTTGGAACTCTATTGGAGGGATGCAACACCATTATTCTACAATAAATTCCATCATTTGTTTTTTTGTTAAACACTGTCTCAGTCGCCACTCCAGTATCTCCCATAAGGATTCAATTGGGTTGAGATTTGTCAGCCAATCAGCATTCAGGGCTCGAACCACCCAGTTTATAAAGTACAGTAATGCCGAGACAACAAAAAGAGAAGTCACACAGAGGCGGAATAAATTCAACGACACATTTGTTTGTTTAATTACAAAACTGGAGAGCAACATCTGTCCGGTGAAGTCCACAAAGCAAATATTACATGTAACAAACAGTTGCTGGACCATGCTGTAGGTCATGTAAGTTAATGTTTTCTACAGTTTACTAAACAACTACTGATTTAGAACCACAGAGTTACCACAAGTCAGCAGAAAGACAACAGGAGCACTGCCTCCACTATTCCAGCACCATTTCAACTTAAACATTTAAACATCATCAAATCAACAAGGCTATATATGCTTAGTTTAATATACTGAAAACAAACTTAAAGACACCAAAAACAATTTTGTTCAATGTTGCTAAATATGATGTGGCTGTCCATGGTACTGATTTCTGTGTGTGTGTGCTCAAGTAAAAAAATGTTTGGACTCACCCTACTTGCAGACTAGTTGAACGCCAATGCCATCCTCTCTTCATGTTGGCAAAATGTTTTAGTTTTTGTTGTCATAGGCTAGCAAGCATGTTAGCTAGGTAGCCTAACTTCCTCGCATGGGCAACAATGAACCAGCTAAGTTAGCTAGCTAGTTAACGTGGTATGCTGGGCCAGCAGCATACCACCCTGCATACCACTGCTGGCTTGCGTCTAAAGCTAAGCAGTGTTGGTCCTGGTCGGTCACTGGATGGGAGACCAGATGCTGCTGGAAGTGGTGTTGGAGGGCCAGTAGGAGGCACTCTTTCCTCTGGTCAAAAAAAAAAAGATCCCAATACCCCAGGGCTGTGATTGAGGACATTGCCCTGTGTAGGGTGCCATCTTTCGGATGGGACTTTAAACGGGTGTCCTGACCCTGTGGTCACTAAAGATCCCATGGCACTTATCGTAAGAGTAGGGGTGTAAACCCTGGTGTCCTGGCTAAAATCTGGTTCTCATACCATCATGGCCACCTAATCATCCCCAGCTTCCAATTGGCTCATTCACCCCCCCTCCTCTCCCCTGTAACTATTCCCCAGGTCATTGCTGTAAATGAGAATGTGTTCTCAGTCAACTTACCTGGTAAAATAAGGGTAAAACATAAAGTGAGCCTACTAGGCTACATATTGAACTTCCATCGTCTCAGGCCAGTGGCACAATATATTAATTTATGGTTAGTTCAGAATCGCTGTCATAATCATTGGCCTGTACAGAGAATTAAGTCAAAACCACAAATCCAAATCCCCATCTCCATCCATGGCATGGGTCAATTTTAGCAAGCTAGCTACTGCAGGACAACAACACAAGCCGACCAGAAACAGACACGTTTTTCTGACTGACGTTTTGCTTTGGATGTGATTTGATTTGTGTGAAGCCAAATACAAACTGGCCTCCCTTGGGGAGCGTTTTGCAGCACCAGGACAACGCACAGTTGAGCTCAGCTCAACGCTGATTGGCTAATTATTTTATACCTTTTTTAATCAAGGGAGGCCAAATGCTTGCTGGCATCAATCAATCAAATGCTACGGTAGCAACATGTCATCCTCTTTTGGTCCAGACAGCATCAGATACATGGGCTACACGTACTGAGACAGAGGGGCGCTGTTTCCCTCGCTCGGTGAGATTCAGCCACTTGCGAATAGAAGGGAAATTATGAAAACACAGAGACAAAAAATACATTATTAAAGATAACATTTTATCTATACAAATTAAAGATAACATTTAAATTATGTGCATGTCATCCGCTTTCCCAGGCCAGTATTCTTTTCATTTAGGCCAGTAGCTTTCAGTTGCCACTGACCTGGTGTGCCACTGGCAAATTCACCTGAATGTCGAACGTCGAGCACTGGAATGGCATGCTAATTTAAAGTATGGCCTGTCATTATAGCCTGGCTCTGTATGGAATGTAGGTACATTATGGGACACAGGTCAGGTAAAAAATTGGTGCGACCAAATCATGTGCTGGTGCCATCAACTGAAACAGTTGGTAGCACCAGTGCCACCAGTGGAAAAAGCCCTTCCCCCCCCAAATCAACATCCAGGGCCTGATGTATTTGAGTTCTGTAAAAGCCTTTATTTCTGTTCACCTAACCAAAGCCTAGGCTACATCTTTCGTAGAAGCTGCACTCCTATAAGTTTAAGGAACAGTAGCACTTTGAGAGGCTCTCTAGCTCTTGATATTGTATATGGCTCTGCAGGCTATCACTGTGTCCCATTCCAGTCCTGTGTGTGTGTGACCCCCATTGCCAGTGGCTATTTTTGGCCCCACTCCCTGAGAACCATTTGCAGCTAGACACAAAACAATGTGATCCGCTCCAAGTAAAATGGCTCTCCTGCAAGCCGAACCGACATCTAACCGTTGTGATAATCCACTCTAATATGTTCCCTATACCTATAATGACAGGCAATGTGCCATATGGAATCATCTTAGGAATGGAATCAATATTTTGATAAATGGGATGCCTTTAAATTGTCTTATGTAATGGCACAGGATGAATCTAATCAAATCCTCCCTAGGGAATTAAGCAGTACATAAGTTTATGAATCGACCAGGTAAAGCTGGTTTCAGTCACATTACTAACATAGAGACTTTATGTGTCAGAATCCGGCATGCTTATGCTCTGACAAAGGTATTTTTTGACTGAAAGTTGCACTGAAATGCAGACTATTTTCTTCAGTATACTGTGGTTGTGTGTGTTGTGTCAGTATAGTATCTATGTTTCTAACATCTTGTGGTGTTCTCTCAGTATAGTATCTATGTTTCTGGCATGTTGTGGTGTTCTCTCAGTATAGTATCTATGTTTCTGGCATGTTGTGGTGTTCTCTCAGTATAGTATCTATGTTTCTTACATGTTGTGGCGTTCTCTCAGTATAGTATCTATGTTTCTTACATGTTATGGCGTTCTCTCAGTATAGTATCTATGTTTCTGGCATGTTGTGGTGTTCTCTCAGTATAGTATCTATGTTTCTGGCATGTTGTGGTGTTCTCTCAGTATAGTATCTATGTTTCTTACATGTTGTGGCGTTCTCTCAGTATAGTATCTATGTTTCTGGCATGTTGTGGTGTTCTCTCAGTATAGTATCTATGTTTCTAACATGTTGTGGTGTTCTCAGTATAGTATATATCTTTCTAACATGTTGTGGTGTTCTCAGTATAGTATATATCTTTCTAACTTCTTGTGGCGTCCTCTCAGTATAGTATATATCTTTCTAACATCTTGTGGCGTTCTCTCAGTATAGTATCTATGTTTCTAACATCTTGTGGCGTTCTCTCAGTATAGTATCTATGTTTCTGACATCTTGTGGTTGTGTGTGTTACTTCAGGAGAAGTCCAAGGTGAGCTTCCTGATGGTGGACAGTGCTGGCACGGAGGACAAGCCCTTAAGGATCCCCAAGGAGGTGTGGCTGCTGGTGAACCACCTCTTTACCAAGTCCTGCCAACAGGTGAGAGGATAGTTAGGGGGAAATGTTTAAAGCGCTATTCTCAAATGCTGTTGCTATGAACTTGGATATTCCTCACAGAGGGGTGACCTTGGTTAGCCTGGAATCCAAACGGAATATCGCTCCATTTCACTATTGTGTCACTTCACTGATTCTGTTTGGACGGAGCGAAGCGGCGCAAAATTCTGTTTGTATTCCAGGCTACCCCTTCTAGGCACTATTCTAGACATAGTGTCTTAGCCTCTAAATTGTATTCTACCCTACCCTTATTCCACGGAAAAACAAAATGACTGTAAACTCCTTACCATTATTCCAGGAGGACCTGTTCCAGACACCGGGCCTGCAGGAGGAGCTGCAGAGTATCATCGACTGCCTGGACACCAGCATTCCTGACTCCATCCGTATCCTTGCTCATATGTCCCAAGTCATTCCAACCCCACTGGCCCAGATCCACTAGCAGGCCCAGCCCTGTAACAGGAGACTGTGACTGAGATGCCACACAGTTATATGGGTCACTGTGATAAAGCGGCTGCTATGCACAGACTGCTGCCAAGGCGCATGTGGTGGTAGTATAAAGGTATGCTACATTCACGAGATACGCTACATAGATTTGCCGTGTGGATGAAGTATGATTTGTGTGGTAGTTGGGTTTTATGGTGTGCAATTCTCCCCTATCATCAGTGTTCCTGTCCGTACTCACACACACACACACACACACACACACACACACACACACACACACTCCTGAACACACACACACACACACACTCCTGAACACACACACACACACACACACACACACACACACACACACACACACAACCAGTGTGTTTGAGAGGATCAGTTCGAGCAAGGATAGGCGCAAGATTGCTAATCTTCATCACAAAATGGGTAGCTATTTCGAATTCAAGTTGATTTGGAAATCAGTGATTCTGCGCAGTATGACAGCAATGTAGTCAAGTTCAAACACCCACCCTCGGCCACAAATCTGTGTGTTATTCCCTGAATGTCTGTGTGTCAGCTGGTTGTAACCACTCGGTGGCCGAGGCCCTGTTGATATTTCTGGAAGCTCTACCTGAGCCAGTGGTGTGTTACGAGCTCTACCAGCGCAGCCTGGACTGTTCCCACGACAGCCGCCTCTGCAAACAGGTGCAGTGAATACATATTTCCACATAAAAATGTATGTATGTGAGACCATATGAATCTGGAAAAATGTATACGAGTAGGAGTCATTGACTTCTATTGACTCGTTAAAAGCTCATATGTATGGTCATTGCATACCATAAGACATAGTTTGCCATCTAGGCTCTGGAAGGTTCTGGTTGGGGTTCCCATTTGTCTTTTCTCTGGTCTGTTTTGTCAGTTGATCTCCCAGCTGCCCCGGGCTCACCGCAACGTGTTCCGCTACCTGATGGCCTTCCTCAAGGAGCTGCTGAAATACGGCCACAACAACAACCTCACTGCTAGCCTCATAGGTCAGTTCCCCATGGCCACGTTCTCTCTGCTTTCCGAGTTCACTAGGGTTCACTGTAGGAAAACGTTTGGCAACGGAATGCAAATATCAGTGTTCTTATTGGACATGTTCAGGTAGAGTAGTTTGTCCCCGCTTCACTCCATTTCAAAATGGATCCTCCCTACTGAACACAACCCAAATCTAGGGTCAATACCCCTTCAATTCAATCAATTCAGGAAATGAAATTCCCAGGTTTAGAATTGGAAAAACTGATATTATTTTCAGGAACTGGAATTCACTGAATCCTGACTGAATTGAAAGGAAACGGATCTAAACTCCTGTTTCTAACATCTTCCTCTACCTCTCTCTCTCCTCCACTGTGCCCCATGCCAGCTTCCCTCTTTGCCAGCCTGCTCATCCGGCCCCCACCCAACATGGTGGGCCGACAGACCCCGCAGGACCGACAGAGAGCCATCGTCTTCATCCTGGGCTTCCTCATGGGAGGGGACGACGAGTGAGGGGTCAGGGGTTAAGGGTCAGGGATTAGGGGTCAGACAGCCTCCAGGCTGGACCTTTTGATAACTGATATAAGAATGGAGTTTTAGTGCACACAAGGCATATGTGTGTGTGTAGGGGACCATGGTGTGACACCCCTGACACCCCCTGTGTTGGATCCTGTTGTGGGAGAACGAATAGTGCAATTATATGGGACCCTCTCTTTTATCACAGGCTCTTATCAAGGCCCCAGCCCCCAGCCTTTGTAGTGCTGTGCTTCAGTCACTCACAACCATCACTATTGACCAAGTCTCATAGTTCTCACCTCTGTTCATAGTGTAGCTGCAGGACCAGGAGTTTAGGTGTTGGTAGCTTGGAGTGACCGTGAACAGTGAACTGACTGATGCCTCTCTGCACTTTTTACTGTACCAGAAGACCTGTATCCCCTGTCTATGGACCCCCCCCACAGGCAACCCCCAAGAACCCCATGCCTCATATAACAAGTTTCATGCCAAAACGACTCCCTATACCTGATTTGAATCTGAACTCTGAATGAATATAAAATATGTATGTAATGTATGTATGAATGCACCAATAGATACTAAGATAATGATGATCCATTAGTCCTTGATACTAAAGATAGACCACATAGGTGGTCGTCCAGAAGATTTGGATTGCAGCTACCCGATGGATACTACTCTCGGGGTGAACTATTCAAACCATCAGTAGACAGTGATATTGGGCGCAAAAGACTTCTAGTGAACACAGAGAGACTGAATGAATCCTTGCTTGTCGGAAATTCCGATAAAGGAAGATTTACGTTCTTCTTACAAGATAGCGATGACTATCGGGAGAAGTCCCATCTGGGTTCTGTGATACATATTGGGAGATGTGTTACAGTGGGCTGTAGTTTAAACTAATGTTATTTATTCTATATATGTTTTCCTTACATGACTTTTGCACCATCTTTATAGTTTATTTCAACTTCATCATTATTTTAAGAGACCGCATTTTGCATATTGTTTAACTGGTTGTTCAAACCCACTTTTTGCTTCTGCTTTTCTGAAACAAGTATTGTTCAATATCAGTGAGATTACATTGCAACTCTGAACCCAAGTCACACTAACTTCACAATTGAGTGATCAGTCATCACGCCTGCATTTATTTGCTGTTTTATGGGCCAGTTTCTCAGACCCAGATTAAATGTATCGGAGATGAACATTCTCTATTGAGCATGCTTTTTTAGTTAAAGAGAAGGCTTTTAATCGGAGTCCCGGAAACCAGCCTTACAGAACATCAGAAAGAAAACGCCTCTACGGTATCGATGTCGTAACTGTTGTAAATAGTCCTCCTCCTGTCGCAATTATCCTGGATGTTTGACTGCTGTCAACTCTTACTATGGTGGCGCAAACTATGTGTTCTTGTGTTTTCAATATGTATGTGCTGTATGTTTGTCATGCAGGTGGTACTGTCGTTTTTAATGTCTGCCATGTCCTCATTTTTTATATAATTTTTCCTCGCTTCAGCCTCGCTCTCTGCCTTCATGCCGGTTAGAGCTTCATTGTTTTGGGCAGACATTAGACCGGGAGACCCATGGGGCTGCGCACAATTGGCCCAGCGTTGTCCAGGGTAGGGGAGGGAATGGCCGGCAGGGATATAGCTCAGTTGGTAGAGCATGGTGTTTGCAACGCCAGGGTTGTGGGTTCGATTCCCACGGGGGGCCAGTATGAAAAATAAAAATAAAAATAATGTATGCACTAACTGTAAGTCGCTCTGGATAAGAGCGTCTGCTAAATGACTAAAATGTAATGTAAAATGTGTGCTCATGCAAGGGTCTTTTTTTGTCACTTTGTCTCCCTCAGTATATTCTGACAATATAATGTCCTGTTTTGCTGTCTGTGTGTCTAAAATGGCAGCCTATTCTCTTTTATAGTGCACCACTTTTGACCAGAGCTCTGATCAAAAGCAGTGCACTATATAGGGTGCCATTTTGGACACACTCTAATCATTTTTTCAGTGACTAAGCATGTTTTACAGTGCAGGTTGAACAGGATTTAGTTGTTCATTACACTCGTCTGAGACAAAACTGGTTTTCCAGACACATTTTTTCCGAACGCTGTCGTGGAACGTGTTATGGTTATGAAATGGGGATCTCCAATGCTGTGCAATTTCAACAGTGTTTCCTCCCTGTGTTTTCGACCCTGTCTAGTAATAACATGTCAAAACGTCTCCTAGCCGGCACTTTACAGGCTGGTTATGTGACACGGTTGGTCTATGACACTCATTTCCACTTTCCATTGGAACAGTTGCCCTGGCGTATGTCTCCAGTCAACTAATCTAGCCAGAAAAGCCTGTTACTTAGTCAACAGACACTTAAAGACTAGCCTGCTTCCATACACTGTATGTGGCGTAGCCAACCCCTCTATTGTTGTCATTCCATGCGATGGTATGACATTGAATATTGATTTGCCTACAGCATACACAGTATAGAACCTGGCTACTACAGGTCCAGGCTAATAAATACGTTTCAAACAGTGTTTCAATGTGTTAAATAACATTATAGCTAACACACTGACAGTCTTGCCAGAAAAGCCTGTACTTTGTAATTTTGTTAACAGGCATTGCTGGACCATTGCTACACCAGAAAATCTGTTCAGAGATGGAAACTTTGTTTCAATATGTTACATAATCTTATAGCTAGAATGTCCTGTTAATCAAAGCACTCACCGGTTTGTATGTCAGTGTCAGCTCTGTACATGAAAGGAGTTTGAGTGTAGTGGAGTGGGCCTTGTGTAAATGTCTGTGCCTCGCTGCAATCATCCCCTACAGTATATTTCTAAAATGGGCCAGGCATGTCTTTAGCATTCCTCAGAGTTGTCATAGACTTGAGCGCTTTGTTTAGCTTTGCCAAACCATGACTGGCCCTGGATGGATTTGTCCTCCCTGTTGTCTCGGACACAAACCAAGGAGAAACAGGGAATCTGGTATGTTCATCTCATTCAGAACACAACGCTTTTACATCAGAAATAAGGCCAACCCAAGCTGAAGAGATATTGTCGGAACTGAATAGTCATATTTGGGAGATCAATCCACACTCATGTTGCCTTATGTTTCTCTTCATCTGTCGCCTGTCTGCGCTATGCTCCTCTTCATGCCTCTGGTTTTGTAATGGTCTGTCTAGTAATAATGCTACATATGCAAAGGAAAACTTGCACAACTGTTTTCAATGTATATTTTGTGTGGTACTTTTAATTTATTTAACGGAAATAAAATAATGTACGAAAAACATTTTTCCTACTATATACCCAATTGTTCACATGTGATACTCAAAGTAATCACAGTCCCGCTTGTTTGAGCACACAACCTTTTGGAAATTATTTTTATCCTGTAAGAAAACATTCAGATAAACAATATGGTGACATAGTTGCTATGGCCGACTTGTCTGCTCCATGTGAAATGGCCAGCTGATAGTGCTAGCCCCTATAGTTAGTCCAGTCAGCGTGCCGTGAGAGATCCATCACCTGGATGCAACATTCCCCTTCATCTCCACGTATAAAGTCCTCAAACTGGGCTCACTGTCATCCGTTTGCCTTTGTTAGTTACTGTAGCCCCAGCCTGCAGTCCCAGGTCCTGTCCCAGTACCAACCATGGCCATGCTGAGAGTGTCGTCCTACCGCCGGCAGTTTGAGGAGCAGTGGAGTCAGAGTGGACGGTCCAACGGAGGCTGTGGAGGGCAGTACCGCGCCTCAGCGGTCAAGGCCAGGTCAGTGTGTGGTTTCTTGGTAGCCCCCTCACCTCTACTTGGCTTAGAGGGCCTGGGTCCTGTTCAGTAGGGGGGAAAGCATTTTGAAACTGAGTGAAATGTGGAGGTACTACCTAAACCTAAAGATTTTTGTTTTCTGTTGCAAAATGTTTTGCTACGGTAAGCCCTATCAAACATGACTCCGTATGCATATGGACCACAGGAGATGGGCTTTATGGAGAACACCATGTGCACTGAGGATGGTTTACTACAGTGTTTCACAAAAACATTTGTACCAGAGGCTGGCTAGCTAGTGTCCTCTCTTCTTGGACTGCTTAGATTAAAAGTAGAATGTGTCAGACAACTCTGAGGGACCAGGCAGCAACATCCCAGGGACCAGATGTTTGTTTCCTTTCACTCCTTAAGTATTTCTGAATGTTTCTTTAATTTAATCACAAGCAAATGTGTGGTAGCTTTGCATGGTCTTCATATGCAGTATCGAATGTCACCCAGTTGGCTATTGTGTGTTCAGTGTTCGTTCCGCCTTGTCTGTCCCAAGGGAAAAGTTTGAAGGGCGTTGACAAATACCTTTTGTACTTGCATCAGATAATGACATCATATTCCCCTCGGCTGTGTTAATTTACACTGATCTGATTTGGGAGGGCAAGCAATGCTATGCATTAAAAACCTTTTAGGGATTGCGATCTTTGATTTTCTATGTACATGCACAAAACTGACACTGATACTTTTGTGAAATGTATTGTGCTAGTGTGTCTGTGTGTCTCTCCTGGGCTTTATACAAACGCAGGCCTCTCCTAAGCTGTCAGTTTCCCACAGGGGTGCGGCTGCTGAGGAGTGTACATGTGACCAGCTGGACTTTGTGGCTGCCAAGGCGCGCAATAAGGAGAGTCTGGTCCGATTTGCTAAAGACCGCAGCATCATTGCCGCCCTCAATGATCGCTTTGTCGCCCTCATCAACATGGTGAGCCCGGGATGGTTTCAACCCTAGAAACAGTATCCTAAGGTTCTAGAAGTGCTATAGTAACTTGACACTTAAGGGTCACAATAAACACAAACTTGAGCACTGTGCTCGATTGAGATTGACCAACAAACACAGTAGAACCAAAGGGATAGTCCCAGAAGTTCAAAGGTGTTTCTTATGTATTTGACCCAAGTCTATTCTACACAGATGAATGCAGCCCAAAAATATTCTGGTAACCTTCCCCAAATTCACAAATTTTCCAGAAATCACATTTGGAATATTCCCACAATCAGGAGGGAAAATTACCAGAATTGTGCAACCCTTAACGTTCATGTACATTCCTATTCCATTGTACATGCTGTGTGCGCCTTCTAGGCACGCTGCTTTGAGGAGGACAATGAGTCTCTGGAGGCACAGATCTGTGAGCTGGAGGAGAGGATGGCCGGCCAACAGACCACCTCCACTGTCGTAGCTGTCCCTGAATATAGCCTGGACGCCGTGGTGGAGAGACTGCGCAAGGAGAGGGTACATATTAACAATACAGCAGAGTGGAGGCATTCATGTCACACACATGCTAGGAGAAAAGGAACCTGTTGTCTAAAAGGTGGTTGGTTCCCATGACAGAGAAGTAGTGAGAATGTGTGTGCGAACGAATGTGTGTGTGTATGTATCAGTGTGAGCGTCTGTATGTACAGCCACTGTGTAGATCAGGGTTCTTCAATTCTGTTTTTTATTTCTACCTGGTAGTTAATTGCACTCGCCTGGTGTCCCAGGTCTGAATTAGCCCCTGATTAGAAGGAGAGGATGAAAAACAGAGGTGTTTCGGCCCTCCAGGACCGGAATTGAAGAACCCTGGTGTAGATGGATGGATAGCCATTGTCACAGACCATTACCTTTACTTACCAGTGCCAGACTGATAAGCCACTGTGTGTGTCCAGGACCAGAGCCTGTTTGATGTGGAGGAGCTGAGGAGAGAGCTGGAGTGTCTGCAGGAGCAGTATGAGGAGACCGTTCAGCAGAGGACCCTCATCCAACTGGAGCAGGAAGACGTTGGCCTGGTATTGACCTCACTTCCTGTGCTTCTGGTGGCCATTTTGTGGTTATTGTTTAGTAATTGTGTTGAATTGGTGTCTTCGTTGGTAATTTATTCTCTAACAATAAGTCGACTTTTCATGTGTGCTACTGTCAATATTGAACATCTATATAGACATAGATCTAACTTGTGGTAGCTTAACTTTTATACCCAATTTTCACCTGCAATGAAGTTTGATCATTCCTCAAAATGAAAGATTGCAAATAGGCAAGGAAGGGTGGAAAGAAGCATGAATTATCTAAATATTCAAAGAAGGCCAATATCTCTTTAGGAGCACTAATGAAAGTGTACTAATCTATAATAACCACTAGATGGTACTATTGCCATGTTTGCCAACACTTTAATTCTCTCCTATTCAAAAAACCCAATTTCATAAACTGTGTGGCTCAGCATAGCCCTGCTGCTCCTCTGTATCTCTACCCACAGGGTGTAGATTAATTATCAGTCCTACAGTCTGGGCCGGTGGACACAACACAACCAGAAAACCCCAGTCCTAACAAACACTACTATCTCATTCCCTCCCTCCCTGCCTGCCACACCACACATGTCGACGCCGTCACAGACCATCTCCCCACTGCCAGCCCAGATGTTGGAGAAGCTGTTTACATGTCTCCTTATTGAGTCATTCAGTTTTACATTTCTCCCATACAGATGTAATACAGACTGTAATGTAGTTGGTGCAGTAATGCTTCTGGCTGGCTTGAGTGCTGGCTGGCTGGCTTGCTGGCTGGCTGGCTCAGCTTCTGGCACCGATTGGAAAGCAGCTGGAGTGTGGAGCAAGACTAGAGTCTGTGGGAAACAAACAAACTGAAACAGGCAGGGAGAGGAGAGGAGTGATTGAATGTGATTGTGAAGCAGTGTTGGAAGCAGCTCCACGAGAGGAGGCTGCGGTCCTTCTCAGCAGGCAAGCAGATGGATATTGGAAGAGGCTTAAAACAAGACATGGCTGGGTATTTAAAGTCCAGCCTTGCCATTAGCTATTGATTAAGCCTGTTTGTATTTTCTGCTAAAGCTGCCCACATCTTGGACAACCTCCATGGTCTGTCTGTCTGTCTGTCTGCCAGCCAATTCTCTGAGTTTTCTATTGAGCTTTTATCTGGGGCTGAGGCTTATAGTGTTTAAAAGGTTCAGCAGGCTCCCACCAAGGCTTCCCACAGTGGAAGAAGGCTGGAGGAGCTAGCTGGTTCTCATCCAAATCCAAAGCAGAAGACGGTGCTATAAAGCACAGCTAGCCTGACGCGATGGATGGGGGAAGAAGAGAAGGGTGATCTAGGGGGGATTTATTTAGTCTTTACAGTCCATAGACTGCGAGTGCAAGACTCTCCAACTTACGGCCTTGTGTTTACCCAGAGATAACAGCAACAGACTGCCTGCCTTACGTGCGACGTCCATCAGGGACCCATGTGTTCCAGCAGCCACAGCAGAAAGTTCCACCCCTGGACCCTACCCGTTTTGCATTCAGATGCAAATGCTAGCACCAGGAGTAATTGAATTCATCATCAATTCATCAGGCACTTAAAAAGGGCTGGATGAGCTTAAAAATCCTGGTGCTGAATGGAACGAGGACCAAAGCATTTTTAGCTAATTAGCCCCTCTTCCTCTGCATTGAGGTGTCTAGCTACCTGCTGGTTGAGGAAATTGTGTGTTTCATGGTACTTCTGTGCTGAATTTCAAATGGACCCCTAGCCCCTACCCCCTCCCTACCCCCGACCACCCTTAGCTCCTACCCCTTACCCTCCTCTCTACCCCTGACCACCCCTAGCCCTTACCCTCCTCCCTACCCCCGACCACCATTAGCCCCTACCCCTTACCCTCCTCCCTACCCCCGACCACCCCTACCCCTTCCCTACACCTTACCCCCTAGGCACTCATGTGCACTGAACAAAAATATAAACGCAACATGTAAAGTGTTGGTCCCATGTTTCACGAGCTGAAATAAAAGATCCCTGAAATTTTCCATATGCACAAAAACCTTATTTCTTTCAAATTTTGTGCACAAAGTTGTTTACATCCCTGTTGGTGAGCATTTCTCCTTTGCCAATATAATCCATCCACCTGACAGGTGTGGCATATTAAGAAGCTGATTAAACAGCATGATCATTACACAGGTGCACCTTGTGCTGGGGACAATAAAAGGCCACTCTAAAATGTGCAGTTTTGTCACACAACACAATGCCACAGATGTCTCAAGTTTTGAGAGAGCGTGCAATTGGCATGCTGACTGCAGGAATGTTCACCAGAGCTATTGCCAGAGAATTGAATATTCATTTCTCTACCATAAGCCATTTCCAACGTCATTTTAGAGAATTTGGTAGTACGTCCAACCGGCCTCACAACCGCAGACCACACGTAACCACACCAGCCCAGGACCTCCCCATCCGGCTTCTTCACCCGCGTGATCGTCTGTGACCAACCACCCGGACAGCTCATGAAAATGTGGGTTTGCACAACCAAAGAATTTCTGCGCAAACTGTCAGAAACCATCTCAGGGAAGCTCATCTGCATGCTCGTCATCCTTACAAGGGTCTTGACCTGACTGCAGTTCGCCGTCGTAACCGTGGGCAAATGCTCACCTTCGATGGCCACTGGCACGCTGGATAAGTGTGCTCTTCACGGATGAATCCCAGTTTCAACTGTACCGGGCAGACGGTGTGTATGGCGTCGTGTGGGCGAGCGGTTTGCTGATGTCAACGTTGTGAACCAAGTGCCCCATGATGTCGGAGGGGTTATGGAATGGGCAAGATCCTGAGGCCCATTGTCGTGCCATTCATCCTCCGCCATCACCGCATGTTTCAGCATGATAATGCACAGCCCCATGTCGTAAGGATCTGTACACAATTCCTGGACGTTGAAAATGTCCCAGTTCATCCATGGCTTGCATACTCACCAGACATGTCACCCATTGAGCATGTTTGGGATGCTCTGGATCAACGTGGATGACAGTATATTCCAGTTCCCGCCAATATCCAGCAAATTCCCACAGCCATTGATGAGGAGTGGGACAATATTCCACAGGCAACAATCAACAGCCTGATCAACTCTATGCAAAGGAGATGTGTCGTGCTGCATGAGGCAAATGATGGTCACGCCAGATACTGACTGGTTTTCTGATCCACGCCCATACCTTTTTTTGGGGGGTATCTGTGACCAACAGATACATATCTGTATTCCAGTCATGTGAAATCCATAGATTAGGGCTTAATGAATTTATTGCAATTGACAGATTTCCTTATATGAACTGTAACTCAGGAAAATCTTTGAAATTGTTGCATTTTATATTTTTGTTCAGTGCAGATATTAAAGGATTGGATTGGTGTAAGCCAGTGTTTCCCAATTCTGGTTTTGGGGACACAAAGGGGTACACATTTAAGTTTTTGCACTAACACACCTGATTCAACTAAAGGCTTGATGCCGAGTTGATTAGTTAAATCAAGTGTCTTAGTGCTAGGGCAAAAACAAACATGTGCACCCGTTTGGGCCCCCAGGACCAGGATTATTGTGAAAATGACATGTAGCCTATCAGAAGACAAGCTGGAGCTTTCAACATACGAGTGCTCTTGTTTTCTATTGACCTGGCTGTCTGCTGCCCCTTTGTAGGAAGTGGATGTAGTGACCGCAGACTGTCTGGCCCTGAGGGAGCAGGTGAAAATCTATGAGGAACAACTAGCTCACATAGAGGCACAGCATGAGACGGTAAGAGAGAAGGGACATATCCGAGATATGACTGGCTGGATGGCAAACATTGATTATCCCACAGTATTAGTACACAAATGAGGAACAGTTTACTACTCAATGACTCTCTGGGTCATTACTTACAATTGTGACTGGGTTTGAACCCAGATTTCATGCATGCCAACAGACTGTTAGCCCACTGAGCTAAAGCCTAGGCATTAGCTCAGGGAGCTAACGCGAGTCTTCCGATCTCAGGCAAGGTTTGCCGAACCACCTCCTTTACAGAAGCAGCAAGCCTTTCTGTTTAGCCAAAGCCACTCAAACTCTAGACAGAGGACAAGTGTTGGAGAGATTCCCATTAGGGGTTGCCGGGGGCAACACGGTTCAGATGACCCCGGCCACCTTGTTGACCAGGTTTTACCAAGAACAGTAATTTTTACCAGGAACAATTGTGGAACTGAGGCAGGATTAGAGCACAACAAGGCAGGGTGGAGCCAGAATAAGCCTTGCCAAGGATAGATCACACAAGTGATATAACCAGTTATTATAGGCAATTTCCAACATGTGAAGTTCATAGGAGCATATCAGGTAATGGCTTTGATTTCTGTTCAAACAGATGGAAAAGGGGTCTTAGAAAACATCTACCAAAAAAAGGGTATTAGAAATGCATCAAAACACAAGTTGAAGTAAAGACCTCTGCCAACTAATATCAATATCAACACAACATTGCCTTGTGCCTTGTAATTCCATTACCAAAAACCCACATATCTTTAAAGGCCCAGTGCAGTCAAAAACTTGATTTTCCTGTGTTTTATATATATTTCCACACAAAATTTTAAAACAAAATTTGATTTATTTTCACAAACAACCGGATAGGTGCAGTGAAATGTATTGTTTGAGGTTGGAATAATACTGTGAAATTGTGAAAATGATGATAATGCCCTTTTAGTGTTTGAAAAGATATCCTGAAATTTCAGCCTGTTTTGGTGGGATGGAGTTTTGGCCTGCCTGGTGACATCACCAGGTGGTTAATTAGTTAGTTTTTTTTTTTTTTACCCTTAATTTACCAGGTAAGTTGACTGAGAACACATTCTCATTTACAGCACGACCTGGGGAATAGTTACAGGGAGAGGAGGGGGGATGAATAAGCCAATTGGAAGCTGGGGATGATTAGGTGGCCATGATGGTATGAGGGCCAGATTGAGAATTTAGCCAGGACACTGGGGTTAACACCCCTACTCTTATGATAAATGCCATGGGATCTTTAGTGACCACAGAGTCAGGGCACCCGTTTAACGTCCCGTCCGAAAGACTGCACCCTACACAGGGCAATGTCCCCAATCACTGCCCTGGGGCATTGGGGTATAAAAAATAAAATAAAATTGACCTGCTGGCCCTCCAACACCACTTCCAGCAGAATCTGGTCTCCCATCCAGGGACCGACCAGGACCAACCCTGCTTAGCTTCAGAGGCAAGCCAGCAGTGGGAAGAAATGTAAATGTAAAAAGAAAGAGTTCCAAACCTCTCTGAAGATAACAGCTAGTTTTCAGTTTTCCCCTCCCCACTCAGACCACTCCCAGATAGTCCTATCAAAATTATTGCTTGATTTCAACTTCCACAGATGTAGATTTTTGGCTAAACACAGACGTCCATGATTGGGGTGGCTGTACCAAATCTGAACCAATCATAGACAGTACAGTACAGCAGGGGTTCACTCTGGGCCCCCCTTCCAGCATTGGGTAACATCCCGCGCCCCACATCTATTTCTATGTGCACAAGCACTGTTCATGACACAAGTTGTTCACACCTCTCTTGTTGGTGGAGAGAATTTTGCGGGTTTAAAGCTTAGTTCCTGCAATTCTACACATTTTGTCATGTGGCGCGAATAACATTTTGCAGTGTTAAAGCTCATTTTCTTGCAATTCTATACATTTTGCCATGTCTAATGTGTATTCATGTGATATTTGAGTGACTAAAAAATTACAACTAAATCTATGGGCTAAAAAACCGAAATAAAATAACGTTAGCTGGTCTGGGCTAGTTGATCTGGACATTTCTGACAAGTTATAAATAGGTATGCAATGATATTTAGGTATGCACAACCCACAGTTTGGGAACCACTGCAGTACAGTGACGCACAGTAGAGTTCAGTACAGTAAAGAAAAGTAGAGTATAGTTCAGTACAGTAGAGCAAACTAGCGTAGAGTATGCTGAACTGTACTGTACTGAACTCTACTGTGGTGTACTGTGATGTCCAAACTTTTGAAATATAGACATCTATAATTGGTTCAGATTTGGTCCAGTCCGGACCAACCAAATTTGGTCTTGTTTGAGGTCGGAGCTCATTAGAATAATAGCCAGTGTGTAGAATTATGCCCATATAGGCTAAGGATATTGCATATTCAGGATACATCAACATGAAGATAATGACATCCATATTCAGAATTATGCATTTCTGTGTAGTACAGATCAGGGTCCCATGATGTTATCTGTTACCGTAATTCTGTAATGTCTCTAGCTGACACCCTATTCTTTCTGCAGACATCTTTGAATCTTTATTCGGAGCAGATATTTAAGAGTTTTTGGTAAATGTGGTTGTATAAAATGGTGGTCGAGATTTTACTGTAAATCTGTTACCAAACTTTGCATTTGCACAGTTCTTTCAGTAAAATGTTTTGTGTAAATTGTTCAAAGTAGTCCTAGTACATAGAGTTGTATGGTTTGTTAAACTTTGAAATCAATGGCATACATTTTAAAGTCTCAGAGTAATCTCATGATTTAATAATTCACACACATTTGCAAAATAAACACACACACACACACACACCGCTCCTCCCCGTTCCCCTTCTCACCAGCAGCTGACAGACCCATCCTAGTATCAGATCCTGGGAGAGGAACACAGAGGCGGAGAGAGAGAGGGAGAGAGGCGGAGAGAGAGAGGGAGAGAGGCGGAGAGAGAGGGAGAGAGGCGGAGAGAGAGGGAGAGAGGCGGAGAGAGAGGGAGAGAGGCGGAGAGAGAGGGAGAGAGGCGGAGAGAGAGGGAGAGAGGCAGAGGGAGAGAGGCAGATGGGGGAGGGGAGAGAGAGAGGAATAGAAGGTAAGAGAGGCAGAGGAAGAAGGAGAATTAGAGAGGGAGAGAGGGAGAGACAAGAAACTGGGAGCAGTGAGTGAGAGAGGGTGAAGGCGAGGCAGTTCCATCACTGTTTTTTCTCCTCTGTGTAGCCCGGCCACTCGGCAGCCCGGCTACGTTTAACACACTCCCTCAGGGACATGCTCGGTAACTCCCTGCACTGAATAACTCACAGCACCGGCTCAATACCAAATGAAAACAGAAGTCCCCCTTTGTTTTATTAACTGCTATTATTATCAGGCATTTCCAAACACCTATTCCCCTGATGAATCAGCCTCCATATCGTTACTCATGTCGAGGAAAAATTAGATGAGGGTCAGGCTGCTTGGGTATTTCTCCAACACTTCATTCTGCTATGATGGATGCATGGAGGTTAATGATGGAGTTTTAGGTATTGCGACCTGAAGACGTACATGGCGGGGCTTAATGTTGTGTATGTGTACACACACACACAAACCCACACACACACACCACACTTACTTACTTACTTAATGGTGTGTGTGTCTGCAGACGGTTCAGAACATGGTGGCCCCTGTAGAGGGTCCAGCTGCAGCAGGGAGAGAAGTCCTTGAGTTCTGCAACCCTAACATCACCTCAGCCATCATGGATATCAAGGAGTACTACAGCCAGCTGGCTGAGACCATCCAGGTACGGAGTATGGAGCATACACACACAATGTGCATGGCACAAACACAGAACACACACACCCTTCAACGTATCTCCTGACAGCCCCCCCCCCCCGCCCCGCCCCCACTCCTACTCACCGGCTACACAGCTCTCCCCCACTCCCCCTTTCATCCCCAAACCGTCTGGCTAAATCGGAGCCTTCTCACGTCGCAGAGGGACCGCTTGTTTTCTTTTCCTCTTGGCATAACACTGGAGGCGAACCTGAGAATCAGAGGTGCTGCCCTACACCAGTACAGACCCACTTTGTCCCTCTGTGTCGGTGTGTCTATGTTGGTGTGTTTCAGAAAGAGAGTTTGTGTGTGTGTGTGTGTGTGTGTGTGTGTGTGTTACAAGCTAGAGGTGCTCTGCTGGGGTCAACCTTGCTCTCTGGTGGGTCTGACCCTCCTTGTGTGTATGTGAGAAGGCTTTGGGCTAAATTTACAGCCAGGTTACCAATGATTCAAGTCAATATTTGACATCCATCCATGTCTGAGGACGTCAGAAGATGATGTGGAAACCGGCCACTAGGGGCAACAGTGAGCGCTGTTAACGTCAAGTAGGTTTGGGTTTTGCTAGGCCGTTGTGGACGAGGATGGTGGATGGGCGTAAGCATCTACCTCTGATTCCAAAGGTGGCAAGTTTGAATCCAGCGATAGAAAGTAGTTTTTTAGATGTTTGTTTTAAGCCTATCCTAACCCTTACCTTAACCATTTGGAGTTAAAACCTTAAGATTTCGGAGTTAATGCCTAAACTTAACCTTAAACACTTTGAAATTTGACGTTTGCAACAACTTTGACATTTGATGTTTGCAAAATATCGAATTCTGATGTGAGAACTAGTTGAAATTTACCACAGTTCTTATTCTCTCTAACCCAGACACTTTCACTCTCCCTCCCCTCCTCCTCCTTCCCTTGTTCATTGCCAGCTGGACAGCTTGCGGTCTGGGCCTGGCCTCCATTAGTGTCTCACAAGGTGCAATTGTCTCCATCCCCAAATGATTGCCATTGGGATTGAAGTGTGATTGTGATTGCTGGCTGACTCTGGCACACCTGTGTGCCCACGTTGCCACTCATTTGCTGTCTAATTTGTTCCCGTTCATCAGGACTGTGTCCCAAATGGCACCCCATTCCCTTTATGGGGGAAAGGGTAACACTTTATCGGAAGGGTATCTACATAAGGACTTCATTGCACATTAATAACCCATGCATACTGCATTTCTAAACGACAACTGTAAGACAACTGAAATATCAACTTGTGGTTATTGTACTGCTTATGAATGTGTACAGCCTAAAATGATTTGCCCCCCTCCCCCTGGAAAGTAATTTAGGGGAAACACTATCATGTAGTGTCATGCAGTAAATTGATGGTAGTAACTATGTTATGTTTCCAGTGCGAGTGCAGGGAAACTGGTGCGGTTGTTGCTGGTGCTGTTGTCGCCATTGGAGCTGGAAAGGAGCTGGCGGTGGCCAGAGCTGCGGGGGTCACAGGCGTTGGCCAAATAACGGACGTCAACGAACTGAAGAAACTGGTGAGTAACCCCTATCTCTCTCTCTGGCATTCACCTACTTTTTTAGACAATCACTACCTGCTGATTTTACTCTCTTTCTCTCTCAAGTTTCTTTCTCTCCGGTAAACTTTCCTTCCAGTAAATTCACAGTTCTCAGACATCTTCTTGGAAAAGGGAAAAGGGAAAAGCCTACCATGAGTTCAGCATCAACATCAGCCACGAAATCAAGAGGAATTGTAGAAAATGAATGGCTTCTTCCCACAGACAGGCAGTTCACTCCTTAGGAGTTCTCCATGAGTGACATCTCTCTCTCTCTACCTCTCTTCTTCATCATCAACTTCTTAAAACTTCACACATTCCTCCTCTGTGTCTCCAGAGACTCCAATCCCAAACTGAACAATGGAAATAGACCCTCATCTATCATCCATCCCCTTCTCATAGAGAAAAAGAACGCACAACAGAGAGGCTTTATTGAGAAAATGGTAGAATGTCTCGAACCACCCCAAAACTCAATGATTCACTCAAGTTTACAGTATTCAAGGAAATGCTGGAATTTCCCATTGCAGTCCATCGTTCAAGAATCAACCCTCCTCAAAACACATAATAGAATCAGTCAATGGCTTAAATGGACAGTAACTTACTTAACTGCTCGCTCCACCGTAATCATCAGTTGTCAGACCGCAGCCGACACCTCCCCATTTCCATAACAAACATGGCGGTTTGGTTCCCATTACTGCGGTTGTGGTCCTAGCCCCAGCTCTTTAAATAAACAGGCCCCCTCTGTAACCGCAGTCGCACTCTCATAACACTGTCTCCTCTTCCCTTAATGTGCAGCACGCAAGCCCTCGCTCTGCCCAGCCTGGGCCTAGTCTGATGGACAGGTCCCTGCCTTTCTCCCTCTCACCGGCCGTGATGGATGTCCCAGTTCTGGTTTCTCACTGAGACACAACTTGGCCAAACAACAAACAACCTTGCGGTGAAATCAGGCTCAGCTTAGAGATGTGTATAATGGGGATGACACACACCCCTGCCCACACATGCAGGGCATGTGGCCAGGGCTCACTTATACAGTGGGGAAAAAAAGTATTTAGTCAGCCACCAATTGTGCAAGTTCTCCCACTTAAAAAGATGAGAGAGGCCTGTAATTTTCATCATAGGTACACGTCAACTATGACAGACAAAATGAGAAAAAACAATCCAGAAAATCACATTGTAGGATTTTTTATGAATTTATTTGCAAATTATGGTGGAAAATAAGTATTTGTTCAATAACAAAAGTTTCTCGATACTTTGTTATATACCCTTTGTTGGCAATGACACAGGTCAAACGTTTTCTGTAAGTCTTCACAAGGTTTTCACACACTGTTGCTGGTATTTTGGCCCATTCCTCCATGCAGATCTCCTCTAGAGCAGTGATGTATTGGGGCTGTCGCTGGGCAACACGGACTTTCAACTCCCTCCAAAGATTTTCTATGGGGTTGAGATCTGGAGACTGGCTAGGACACTCCAGGACCTTGAAATGCTTCTTACGAAGCCACTCCTTCGTTGCCCGGGCGGTGTGTTTGGGATCATTGTCATGCTGAAAGACCCAGCCACGTTTCATCTTCAATGCCCTTGCTGATGGAAGGAGGTTTTCACTCACAATCTCACGATGCATGGCCCCATTCATTCTTTCCTTTACACGGATCAGTCGTCCTGGTCCCTTTGCAGAAAAACAGCCCCAAAGCATGATGTTTCCACCCCCATGCTTCACAGTAGGTATGGTGTTCTTTGGATGCAACTCAGCATTCTTTGTCCTCCAAACACGACGAGTTGAGTTTTTACCAAAAAGTTATATTTTGGTTTCATCTGACCATATGACATTCTCCCAATCCTCTTCTGGATCATCCAAATGCACTCTAGCAAACTTCAGACGGGCCTGGACATGTACTGGCTTAAGCAGGGGGACACGTCTCGCACTGCAGGATTTGAGTCCCTGGCGGCGTAGTGTGTTACTGATGGTAGGCTTTGTTACTTTGGTCCCAGCTCTCTGCAGGTCATTCACTAGGTCCCCCCGTGTGGTTCTGGGATTTTTGCTCACTGTTCTTGTGATCATTTTGACCCCATGGGGTGAGATCTTGCGTGGAGCCCCAGATCGAGGGAGATTATCAGTGGTCTTGTATGTCTTCCATTTCCTAATAATTGCTCCCACAGTTGATTTCTTCAAACCAAGCTGCTCACCTATTGCAGATTCAGTCTTCCCAGCCTGGTGCAGGTCTACAATTTTGTTTCTGGTGTCTTTTGACAGCTCTTTGGTCTTGGCCATAGTGGAGTTTGGAGTGTGACTGTTTGAAGTTGTGGACAGGTGTCTTTTATACTGATAACAAGTTCAAACAGGTGCCATTAATACAGGTAACGAGTGGAGGACAGAGGAGCCTCTTAAAGAAGAAGTTACAGGTCTGTGAGAGCCAGAAATCTTGCTTGTTTGTAGGTGACCAAATACTTATTTTCCACCATAATTTGCAAATAAATTCATAAAAAATCCTACAATGTGATTTTCTGGATTTTTTTCTCTCAATTTGTCTGTCACAGTTGACGTGTACCTATGATGAAAATTACAGGCCTCTCTCATCTTTTTAAGTGGGAGAACTTGCACAATTGGTGGCTGACTAAATACTTTTTTCCCCCACTGTATATCTATGAGAGAGAGAGAGAGAAGAGAGAGAGAGAGAGAAGAGAGAGAGAGAGAGAGAGAGAGAGAAGATAGAGATAGATCTCGCTACGAGTCGATCTGGAGCAGACTCCTTCGATATATCACCTCGGAGAGGACTCTCTCGCTCTTTTCTCTCTCTCTGTATCGGCGCTAGCTATACTCACTATCGACGCTCCTCTGATCAAGAGATAAAAATATTTCCTGTGATCTTTTATTTCCACCCATCTCACTCAACATCAAAACATGGGCCAACACTTTACGTGTTGCGTTTATATTTTTTTTCAGGGTACTTACAGCAGGGAGCCGGGTGTGATTGTGTGTGTCAGGAAGAGAGTATACATTTTGAGATTAACTCACACATCTCGTGGAATGTGTATCTATGAAGTTTATACCGATGCACGTTGTTACGATTTTTCCTCCAACCATGTACCTGAATTTTTGTGTTTGTACCTGTGTGTATAGATTGCAGAGCTTGAAAAGGAGCTTGCAGAGCTGGATAAGTGTGGTGAGGAGCTGGAAAATGAGATTGAGATGAAGAGAGAAGCATATGTGAAGGAGATCTTTGAGCTGGAGGTAAGAGGGACAGACCACACAAAGAGCAAAAACTGGCCCCAGTACAGTAACCCACCCATCTCAGCTCCAAGTAGACACTCTCCCTTATCATAGATCTATGAAGAGTTTACCCTACCCTGAAACCTAACCACAGATCTAGGAACAGTTTACCCTATCCTCAAACCTAACCACAGATCTAGGAATAGTTTACCCTACCCTCAATCCTAATCACAGATCTAGGAACAGTTTACCCTATCCTCAAACCTAACCACAGATCTAGGAATAGTTTACCCTACCCTCAATTCTAAGGGCAGAAAGTTAGAAAATATCAGACCATAGACCAGTAGTTAGGGCCAACTTCTACCTCCATCCATCCCATATACCCAATTGCTCTATTCCAATAACTTCTACCTCCAAACATTCTATATACCCAATGGCTCAATTCCAATAATTTATAGCTCCTCACATCCCATATATTCAATGGCTCTATTCCAATAACCACACTAGCATACCACTTAGAATGCATCCAATACATAGATACAGTGGGGAAAAAAAGTATTTAGTCAGCCACCAATTGTGCAAGTTCTCCCACTTAAAAAGATGAGAGAGGCCTGTAATTTTCATCATAGGTACACGTCAACTATGACAGACAAAATGAGAATTCTTTTTCCAGAAAATCACATTGTAGGATTTTTTATGAATGTATTTGCAAATTATGGTGGAAAATAAGTATCTGGTCAATAACAAACGTTTCTCAATACTTTGTTATATACCCTTTGTTGGCAATGACACAGGTCAAACGTTTTCTGTAAGTCTTCACAAGGTTTTCACACACTGTTGCTGGTATTTTGGCCCATTCCTCCATGCAGTTCTCCTCTACAGCAGTGATGTTTTGGGGCTGTCGCTGGGCAACACGGACTTTCAACTCCCTCCAAAGATTTTCTATGGGGTTGAGATCTGGAGACTGGCTAGGCCACTCCAGGACCTTGAAATGCTTCTTACGAAGCCACTCCTTCGTTGCCCGGGCGGTGTGTTTGGGATCATTGTCATGCTGAAAGACCCAGCCACGTTTCATCTTCAATGCCCTTGCTGATGGAAGGAGGTTTTCACTCAAAATCTCACGATACATGGCCCCATTCATTCTTTCCTTTACACTGATCAGTCGTCCTGTTCCCTTTGCAGAAAAACAGCCCCAAAGCATGATGTTTCCACCCCCATGCTTCACAGTAGGTATGGTTTTCTTTGGATGCAACTCAGCATTCTTTGTCCTCCAAACACGACGAGTTGAGGTTTTACCAAAAAGTTATATTTTGGTTTCATCTGACCATATGACATTCTCCCAATCCTCTTCTGGATCATCCAAATGCACTCTAGCAAACTTCAGACGGGCCTGGCTTAAGCAGGGGGACACGTCTGGCACTGCAGGATTTGAGTCCCTGGCGGCGTAGTGTGTTACTGATGGTAGGCTTTGTTACTTTAGTCCCAGCTCTCTGCAGGTCATTCACTAGGTCCCCCCGTGTGGTTCTGGGATTTTTGCTCACCGTTCTTGTGATTATTTTGACCCCACGGGGTGAGATCTTGTGTGGAGCCCCAGATCAAGGGAGATTATCAGTGGTCTTGTATGTCTTCCATTTCCTAATAATTGCTCCCACAGTTGATTTCTTCAAACCAAGCTGCTTACCTATTGCAGATTCAGTCTTCCCAGCCTGGTGCAGGTCTACAATTTTGTTTCTGGTGTCCTTTGACAGCTCTTTGGTCTTGGCCATAGTGGAGTTTGGAGTGTGACTGTTTGAGGTTGTGGACAGGTGTCTTTTATACTGATAACAAGTTCAAACAAGTGCCATTAATACAGGTAACGAGTGGAGGACAGAGGAGCCTCTTAAAGAAGAAGTTACAGGTCTGTGAGAGCCAGAAGTCTTGCTTGTTTGTAGGTGACCAAATACTTATTTTCCACCATAATTTGCAAATAAATTCATAAAAAATCCTACAATGTGATTTTCTGGATTATTTTTTCTCAATTTGTCTGTCATAGTTGACGTGTACCTATGATGAAAGTTACAGGCCTCTCTCATCTTTTTAAGTGGGAGAACTTGCACAATTGGTGGCTGACTAAATACTTTTTTTCCCCACTGTACATGGACTTATACTAAGTGGTAGTATGCTAGTGGGGCTATTAGAACATGGCCTATTATCTCTCTGTTTCTCCTCAGTGTCGTGTTGAGGAGATGAAGGAGCAACAGCATGACCTGCAGGTCCAGATGAGGGAGCAGTGTGATGACTACGAGGAGCTGCTGGGTCAGAAGATGGCCCGGGACATCGAGATCGCTGCCTACAGGTGGGCCCTTTCACTGATACATTTCACCCAAATGAACCTATGCCTAACAATAGATAACCTACAGGGTAATCATCAAGGCTTAGGTAGTAGTGAAAAAGATGGTGAGGCCCTGTGCACAGCAGTGTTAACTAATGGGATTGTTCAGGAAGGAAAATGTAGCATCCACAACATGAAAAAAGCACACTTGCATAGCCAATGACGAACCTTAAATATGAAATACAGAGGCCTCTGTAGTATTACAATGACAATGGCATCTTCAGGTGACGTGATGTTGACGTGATATTTTCGATTTTGTTCACAATATTTGTGTAGCCCTACATTGTGAACGTGTGAGTAGTATGTGTGACATAATGTCACCTGGGCAACCCCATATCCATATTAAGACATTCCTGAGAACAAAGGCCTAACATCCGAGGTTAACTGGGGTCACAGGAAACAGTCCCTATGACAGCCCCAGAAAACATGATGCAGTTTCCTGTCCGGTGTCCTTGAAGACGTTTTTGTGTTTCTGTCATGCCTCCCTCCTGTTGTGTGTGTCTGTCTGTCTGTCTGTGCTCAACCATCTGCCGTCCTGGTATGTAGAATGACGCACTTTGCCCTTCCCGACCCCCTACCTTTGGACACCCCTTCGCTCGCCCCTCCGCTCGCCCCTCCGAACGCATCCGAGCCTCAGGAGGCCCCCCGATACATCCTTGCGGCTCAGGAAGAGGCAGCCTCACACAATGCCTCATTAGAATGGACAGGGGGGGACTTCACACTGTCAGGACCGTGGGCTGGGCCTTTGCCAAGCCATTTTATCCGCTAGCCTGTTAATGTCAGCAGACCCGCAACCCAGTCGCAGCCTCGCCGCCGTAGCCTCCTTTAAACACTCTGGTCCCTGAACAGACTGTTCCAAAGACACACACCACCTAGACTCAAGACGCACACACATTTACATACACACACACGTACACACACACACTTAGGCAAGGTACAGGCAGGCAAGACAGTCTGGGTGCGACATTGCTTAACTTTTTATCTACTTTGTTTACGGGGCTGTTTTGTCATCCGTGATTAAAACCATGAATAAGAAATTTAAAAAAAGCTTCTCTCCACACTTTGGAAATGTGTCTGCAGAAGAGAGCCTAATGACACTAGTCTCGCCTGTAAAATGTACACTGAGCCATTTGGACCAGATACTCGCCGTTGTTGTAGCTCCCCAGTGACAGTCTTAATGTTAACAATTCACTTTCAGTAGTATTACGTGTGTAACTCAGACTGTGGCTGAGTCCCAAATGACATCCTATCCCCTATGTAGTGCACTACTTTTGAGCAGGGCCCATAGGGCTCTGGTCAAAAGTAGTGCACTATATAGGGAATAGGGTGCCATTTGGGACATAACCAGTGTCTTAGTGGTAGACGACACAACAATAACAACAACAAGCAGAAGTTTAAACAGACATTGAGATTACCCCTAGCTCTGATATGGTGGCTATAATGTATGAAATAGGAAAAATAGGCACATCTGTTCGAATTCATCTGATCTAATTCACATTTTGTCTAAATAATCTGGTTGAAATCAAGTGCTGGACTGAGATTTTTTCTCAATAATGTAAAAAAGTAATGTCCGTAACTCCGATAGGTATGCTTCCATAGTGGCTTATTTAGAAGTACATAAAACAGACAGTTTCTATGGAGGCCATTTTGGGTCTAAGTCCTCCTAGCTGAAGTGGAAGAACTCTGTGTGTGTTTTCAGCAGACCATCTTACAGTTGTTTTCCTCTCCCCTTTTCGCTCTTCTATCCCCAGGGGTTTGGTGGAAGAGGAGGATGAGAGGCTTTGCTACCTGTGAGAGGAACCGATGCAGACCAGACCAACCAACCTGCTTTCGCTGATGGACATCCCCCCCATACAGATTTCACGCGTTGCCAAAACATAACAGACCTAAATCAGCCATTAGAGATCACATGAAGCTAACCGCCACACAACCATTGGAGCAGATGTAAAAGTATCATGACAGATTAACGACGTCTGGAGGGCAAGCCAGGGCCATTGATAACAGGTCACTGGTAGGTGACCCCTGTCCTATAAGAAAGATGGAATTGTCTAACATTGGGGTGGAGGGGGATGGGACTGGATAGAGAATGTGTATTCAGTGTCTGTGAAAAGACTCTGAAATGTCCCTAAGTGGTCTCTATCTGTTGTGGCTACACTCTCTGGAGCTAACTCACTGATATGACACACACACACACACACACACACACACACAGACACACACAGACAGACACACACTGACTGACTCTGCAGAATCATTTACCTCCCGTTACCCCTCACTCCAGCATGAGCCCATTAAACGCTCTTAACCCCTGACCTCTCCGCTGTTCACAAGCCATTGGACAGCTCTTACTATCCAATAAGATAGCCTTAACCGGTCATGGCAGGTCACCTTTCATTTGCTTTACAATCATGCGTTCATGTGGGTTTTTCACAGAAATGGCAGTCAAGTCACTTACACCGTAACTGTGAACTGGTATATTAGCTTTGCAAATGGTTGGTGAAGTTGACATTCATTCGTACACCTGGTCGGCTACAGCAGAGAGCTTGTGTGCGGTTCCTGACTTATTTGCTCATTCTCTGCCCCATGACCTGGAGGAACTGAGTCAAGTTAAAACCATAACAATAAAAATACATTTTGCTTGACTTCACCTTCCTGTCTTTTTCACTCTCTGTGAACACAGTGTCAGCAGTGTCTGTGGAATGGGAGTGTGTATGTGTGTGTGTCATTCCCCCGCTTAAGTGCCTTTCCTCGCCATCATAACTGTACATTTAACAGAGGATGAGTTATGCCGTGTGATCCCTGCCCCATTTGTCTTCATGCTTAACCTCAGATGTGAACGTTCTCGGCTATTAACGGTATCAGAGGCTTGTTAGCTCGGCCATAAAGATGAACAATGCGGCTAATAACGGATCAGATAAGATTAGCTACATCCAGTGATCTCCTGGTGAATTGAAACACACCAACACTCACTAGGAGAAGGCTGCAAGCGGTCAGGGTGACGTGTTTAATTGTGTGGACATGAAACATGGCGAGCAGTGGAGGAAGCAGACTGGTGGGTCTGTGGGGCCTTTATTTTCTCAGGGCTGCAGCACTCAATCATGTCCTCTGCCTCCGAGGACTGGACCCACAAGACTTATATCCCACCCAGCCCCCTGCCATCCCCCTCTGACGGCCAACCACCCATCTCCTCTACCACATGGGACTGCTATGGCCCTGATGGTCGATTTCTGGACCTTCTGTACGTGTGTGAAAAAGGAGTGGAAGAGAAACTCCGATGTCAGAATATGTGCTTAAAGAGATCGTATAGTATGGCCTCTCTCCCTCTATCCTTCACACTAATTCTGTCTTTTGAGGGTCTCATGGGGAAATGTTCTTACCCAGCAGAAATAGACAAACACACAAAAACAAACACAAAAAAATGTTTAAGTTCTCCAAATACAAGACAGGTTGGCAAGATTTTTATTCATTCCATGCGAATTGACTGTAGCAAAGTAGTTTTACGTTAACAACAAGCTTTTATTTTGATATACCAGACCAGAGGTATCACACTGAGTCGCTGGCTTTTGCCAGTGCCACTATTTTGATTCAGCAGAAATGAATCGACTGGGTCAATCTGGTCACTAAGGGTTATTTTATTTATCTATTTCTTTACTGTGATATTAACTGGCTTATTATCATCACTATGCTGATGTATTATTTCTAACATCAATGCAAATCTTTATCTGTCATTTGAGTTTAGCAGAGATGGTATAAAAACATATGATGTAGAACCAGAGAGGATGGCCAACCACACTGAACACAAATATCAACGCAAAATATAAAGTGATGGTCCCATGTTTCATGAGCTGAAATGAAAGATTCCAGAACTTTTCCATACGCACAAAAAGCTTATTTCTCTAAAATGTTGTGCACAAATTTGTTTACATCCCTCTTAGTGAGCATTTCTCCTTTACCAAGCTAATCCATCCAGCTGACAGGTGTGTCATATCAAGAATGTGATTGAACAGCATGATCATTACACAGTTGCACCTTGTGCTTGGGACAATAAAAGCCCACTCTAAAATGTTCCGTTTTGTCACACAACACAATGCCACAGATGTCAAAGAGTTTTGAGGGAGCGTGCAATTGGCATGATAACTGCAGGAATGTCCACCAGAGCTGTTGCCAGAGAATTGTTGGTTGGCACAACCAAAGATTTCCTGCACAAACTGTCAGAAACTGTTTCAGGGAAGCGCATCTGCGTGCACGTCGTCCTCACCAAATCAAATTGTATTTGCCGCATGCGCCGAATACAACACCTTACAGTGAAATGCTTACTTACAAGCCCTTAACCAACAATGCAGTTTTAAGAAAAATAAGTGTTAAGTAAAAAATAGATAAGTTAAAAATAACAAATAATTCAAGAGCAGGGTCTTGACCTGATTGCAGTTTGGCATCGTACCTGACTTCAGTGGGCAAATGCTCACCTTCGATGGCCACTGGCACTCTAGAGAAGAGTGTTCTCCACGGACGAATCCCAGTTTCAACTGTACCGGGCAGATGGCAGACAGCATGTGTGGCGTCATGTGGGCGAGCTGTTTACTGATGTCAACATTGTGAACAGAGTGCCCCATGGTGGCGGTGGGGTTATGGAATGGGCATGCATAAACTACGGACAATGAACACTATTGCATTTTATCAAATGCACAGAGATACCGTGACGAGATCCTGAGGCCCATATAGTGCCATTCATCTGCTGCCATCACCTCATGTTTCAGCATGATAATGCACAGCCCCATGTCGCAAGGATCTGTACACAATTCCTGGAGCTGAAAATGTCCCAGTTCTTCCATGGCCTGCATACTCACAAGACATGTCACCCATTGAGCATGTTTGGGATGCTCTGGATCGACGTGTACGACAGCTTGTTCCAGTTCCCAACAATATCCATCAACTTCGCACAGCCATTAAAGAGGAGTGGGACAACATTCCACAGGCCAAAATCAACAGCCTGATCAACTCTGTGTGAAGGAGATGTGTCGCGCTGCATGAGGCAAATGGTGGTCACACCAGATACTGACTGGTTTTCTGATCCACGGCCCTACCTTTTTTTTAAGGTACTGTATCTGTGACCAACAGATGCATATCTGTATTCCCAGTCATGTGAAATCCATAGATTAGGGCCTAATGAATTTATTCCAATTGACTGATTTCCTTATATGAACTGTAACTCAGTAAAATCTTTGAAATTGTTGCATGTTGCGTTTAAAAAATGTTCAGTGTAGAATGGTTCGGTCCATTTCCTATGAACCTGTTGCATCATCCGTTTCAATGGCTATATATTCCTGTCTACACCTGTTGGAGAAGGTATCATTTTTTCTGCTCTTACTATTCTGTTTTTAAAAGTGTGTTAATATCGCTCTTTGTTTACTAGAAATTGTCAAATGTGTTCATTGTAAATTGTATTATTGCATTGAGTGTGAATTCTGTTGGTTTAAAATGTTATTTTTGTACACAAACTCAATGTTCACTCGTGTTGAGCACCAGCTGCTAACTCTGTTGTTTTTTAGCATTCATTAGCAAGCTGTGCAGATGCGTTAGCATTTTAGCAATGCTGTTTATTTTCTTTGGTAAACCAAGTTTATTGTATCTCACTGGTCCTGCACTGACAATTGTGTTGCTTTACTATCCAACAGGCGCGGATGCAGTTGAGAAACATTGAACTGAATGCTGTTTTCTATTTCTTTAACTCTATGCAACTCTATGCAGCCTGTTGAGAATTAAAATATATTTTATTTTCATATTGTATTGTGCTGTATTTATTTAGTAGTGCATTTTATGTGTGTGCACTAAGTCCTACTTTTACTTGTATCACTGTTCTTCTGCTCATATTGGAGAAGGCGTGGATGCAGTTGAGAGACACATTGAACTGAACTGAATGTTTTATTTCTGTAACTATGCAGGCAGGCAACTCAGATCTATCAAGACAAGTTGTGGCATCAACTCTACTCAAAATGCAGTGAAACCTGTTACAACTGCATGGTGAGTAAGTTATATATTCGACTATGCCGAATGAAGACCTTAAAATGCGTCAATCTAAGTAACATAATAAAAAAATCCCCATCAAAATCTGTCAGTTTAAGCCAGAGATATGTTTTTTTTTAATGGGCTGTCTCAATCCACCGCATCCACCTATGTCCGCCTTCTGCATCTGCGGTAGAATGTGACAGAGCTACAGCGCTGTTTGTCAGACCAGCAGACATCCTGAAAATCGGTCTTCTCAAGAAAACGTCTGAACGGTTTGGCCTACTAACTATGACCACTCCATTGAAAGATGAGACTCTCACGAACATGATGGTGTTCTCTGTTTTTTATGAGCCCCACAAATGTCACGGGACTGGTCTGAAGGTGAATGAATGGAAGTATGGAAGTATATTTGTCCAAGAAACTACAATATTTCCTGAAATTTCTTATATATCCTAGATATAGGACAGACTCTTCAAAACGTATTCGTTATGATGTATTTTTTACTGTCACTTTTGTCATGTATGAATGTGTTATTCAATGCGTTTCTATGGGCTATAGTAGTAAAGGCCAAATTCAATATATATATATTTATTTTGTTGGATACCTACAGGGGTCCTAAAATTCCAAATGAAATAGCAAAATGATCCATGGTATGACCATCTTAAAACAATTCCATATGTTAGCTTAGTAGAACCATATAAAAACAAATCATGACAGCTGTGATGGAAACAGGTAACATTTTATAAATGGCAACAGATAATTTGTTCGTTCGACATGGTGGGATCTTTTTGTGTCGGTAAAATAAATTATGTGAGAAATGGTGGTATGACTCGGTAAACCATGCAGTTTATTAGGCTACAGATGAAATACGTTATGATGAACTTCACAGGGTGGTGAAAGTGCACGGTGATCTTGATGCTCCTTCCCAATAAAAATATAGAGTATTATTCTGGTGACATGATGATCGATGCCTGACAACAATTTGGCAAATAAAAATATTCTCACTTTTATTCATAATAATTTTATCATGTAGATCACCCTACCCGCACGGTTTCCTTGCAATGTATCTGCGAGCTGTTAGCTCGAGCGCTCATGCCAAGACTAGATTAGGCACATTTTCGATTTAACGCAACAGTTTTTGTGACAAAACTATCAGTAGAGTTGAAAATGGGATGCAAACATTTTGTGTGCACTA